GATCCCTCAATGGAAGCTCTCTGTATATATATATATATATATATATATATAATATTTATTTTTTCATTTTTTGGCCCCTAATTTTTTTAAATTAAATAAATTGAGGATACAAACTTTTTTTTAAAGCTAATGTCCTCCTACTGTCAAAATCCTCCACATTGCAATTTTTAACAGGAAATTGGATGTAACAAGTAATTTTTACGGGCATGTTCTTAGGGGGACGGGAGGGTACTCTACCAGTGGCAACGCATGTATATAGAAACTATCCACATGTACTCTATCAGTGGCTTGCGGTTGAGCGGGTAAAGCTACCTAGTTAAATCGACGACTGAGCCCGCATGTATATAGAAACTCGCCTAAGTACGGATGACATAACTCAATTTTTTTTACTAGTTGTTTATCCTCATATCAATAATATACTATCGTTATTCCCTTATTTTATTTTTTATTTATTTCTAATTTTTCTTTTGATCCCAAATAATAGTACCAAACACTACTGATCTCAAATAATCTAAAAACAGCCACAACCAATCCATCCGATCCATCCTAGTGAGACTCATAATCGAAAAACCTACAATGTCTCATAAACAGAGCGTCAATTTATAAGAAATAGAGAGATCCCTGGCTAATCTCTTGGCTTGTTGTTGACCTAAAGAGTAGTAATACAACTATGAAACGTGTATGATATCCAATCTCCCAATGGACAGTCTTTTTGTAAAACCTATATAAAGTAGTAAACCTCTTACTTTTTTTAATTTGATATGAAAAAGAAAACTACCTCTATATAAACCTGAATCAAGTAGGAAACCTCCTCCTTTTTAATTTGATAAGAAAAAGAAAACTTTACCACTACTTACCAGGCTGCCTTAGCTGGAGACTAAAGACCTCTTAATCCAGTAGCCAAAAAAACAATAATCCACATAATCCAATATTTCAAATGAAATAAATAAATAAATCAACGATCGTGCAGAAACAATTTATTTGAGTCCTTAATTTCCAAATTTTTTTCACCAAATATATTACGTTGTTGGATGAATTGATAAAGCATTTTGACGATGGGGCCAATAACTTAAAAAATGTTTGTATTCTTATTATTATTATTATTTTTTTGAAAAACACGGTGTAAATTGAAAATGCGGTATAAATTTAGAGGGCAAATTACGAGTTTAACTTAAAAAAGTTTGTACCCTCCAATTCTAATTTTCTTTTTACCAAACATATAACGTTGTTGCACTGAATTTTTGAATTTTAGAACCGCGTAATCGAACATGATTTATCATATTTGATGAACGTTTCAAACAAGTCAAACAATCTAATAAGAAACATGAACTCTTTTTATGGTAAAAAAGAAATAGGAACTCGGATCAGATAGACTAGAGATGGAAAAATAAAAACATAAAACTACCAAAAAGCTGGAAAAAAGAATGAGGACTGGAGAAAGCCCATTAGCCCACCCCATAAGCCCGCTTTAGCTACACCTTAGCCCACCTCCGCCAGACTTAGCACGAAATAAAACAGCACAGCTCCAGTCTTCCCTTCCTAATTTTCTCCCTTCTTCTTCTTCTTCTTCTTCAGTCGAGTGGAGGGAACGTCGTCACTGAGTCAGTCAATATTGCCGTCAGTAAGTCATCTTTCTTTTCCCTCGAATTTTCAGTCGATTTGTTTGTTTTCTTTTATTACTGAGTCTTTTTTTCTATAATTAAAATGATTGGGTTGTGATCGATATGAGTTGTAGTTGCTCTTATCTTAATGGAATGATTTTTGTCTCTGATTGTGAACCAGCAAAAGAAAATCTTGAGAACCCAGTAAAGTGCGGTAGTTTTCCTTCTGCTATGTTCACACCTCACATTGTATATAAAACTTGTCATAACTATAATAGCAGATGCTGATACATAGTTCCAGATTAATGATTTCATTTGATATATTTGTCATCTGTGCTTGAGATAGTTTTGAATTTACTGGTTAGTCTTCTTTTTGAGAGCCACAAACACCTATCTTGCACACATTACAATAGCTATGCCTAATTTTGGAAATTTTCACAGACAAACCAGATCATGTGACATTCAATAGCTACACCTATCTTGCACACATTACTATAAAAATAGGAAACCAATATAATTGATCCAACATCAAAGACAAACCAGATCATGTGACATTCAATAGCTACACCTATCTTGCACACATTACTATAAAAATAGGAAACCAATATAATTGATCCAACATCAAAGACAAACCAGATCATGTGACATTCAATAGCTACACCTATCTTGCACACATTACTATAAAAATAGGAAACCAATATAATTGATCCAACATCAAAGACAAACCAGATCATGTGACATTCAATAGCTACACCTATCTTGCACACATTACTATAAAAATAGGAAACCAATATAATTGATCCAACATCAAAGACAAACCAGATCATGTGACATTCAATAGCTACACCTATCTTGCACACATTACTATAAAAATAGGAAACCAATATAATTGATCCAACATCAAAGACAAACCAGATCATGTGACATTCAATAGCTACACCTATCTTGCACACATTACTATAAAAATAGGAAACCAATATAATTGATCCAACATCAAAGACAAACCAGATCATGTGACATTCAATAGCTACACCTATCTTGCACACATTACTATAAAAATAGGAAACCAATATAATTGATCCAACATCAAAGACAAACCAGATCATGTGACATTCAATAGCTACACCTATCTTGCACACATTACTATAAAAATAGGAAACCAATATAATTGATCCGGAATTATTGGAAGCTTCGAGAGGCCTAACAGTCTTCCTAGCATTGTAGGATATCTTCTGAATATAATTTATGGTTTCTTTCTTTGTGTTTACTCTCTGCTGTTTTAATCCTGGGAAGACTTAGGTGTAAATTGAAAGTACAGTACAAATTTAGAGGTCAAATTACCAGTATAGCATAAAAAAGTTTATATCCATAATTTATAATTTTCTTTTTACCAAACATAATACGTTGTTGCACTGAAACTACCAAAAAGCTGGAAAAAATAATGAAGACTGGAGAAAGCCCATTAGCCCACCCCAAAAGCCCGCTTTAGCTACGCCATTAGCCCACCTCCGCCAGACTTAGCACGAAAGAAAACAGCACAGCTCCTCTCGTCCCTCCCTAATTTTCTCCCTTCTTCTTCTTCTTCTTCAGTCGAGTGGAGGGAACGTTGTCACTGAGTCAGTCAATATCGCCGTCGGTAAGTCATCTTTCTTTTCCCTCGAATTTTCAGTCGATTTGTTTGTTTTCTATTATTACTGAGTCTTCTTTTCTATAATTGAAATGATTGGGTTGTGATCGATATGAGTTGTAGTTGCTCTTATCTTAATGGAATCATATTTGTCTCAGATTGTGAACCAGCAAAAGAAAATCTTGAGAACCCAGTAAAGTGCGGTAATTTTCCTTGTGCTATGCTCGCACTTCACATTGTATATAAAACTTGTCATAACTATAATAGCAGATGCTGATACATAGTTCCAGATTAATGATTTCATTTGATATATTTGTCATCTGTGCTTGAGATAGTTTTGAATTTATTGGTTAGTCTTCTTTTTGAGAGCCACAAACACCTATCTTGCACACATTACAATAGCTATGCCTAATTTTGGAAATTTTCACATATGGGGGAGCTGGCAAGTCAGAAACATGTTCAGTTCATTGTATCAGTCGAAAAGGTCTGACTTCAATTCGAATCCATTGTTATGCTTTTGCTTTATACCTAATTGTAATAAGATGGTGATACTGTGCTCAGAAGAAGGATTCTTTTGAGTCAGTGGTGATGGAGCATATAAGAATGAATGGGGCATACTGGGGTTTGACTGCTCTTGATCTTCTTGGGAAGCTGCACGTCGTGGATGTCGAGGAGGTTGTTTCCTGGGTCCTCCAGTGCCAACATGACTCAGGTTTGTACTTTGCGTAAATTCTTAGCCAGCCCAACATCACTAAACTGTTATTTTGATCTTCATTGTTTGTATGGTGATTTTGAGTTGTAGAGAGAATGATGATACAGCTTTGTTTATGCAGGTGGGTTTGGTGGTAACATTGGGCATGACCCACATGTACTATATACGTTAAGTGCTGTGCAGGTTTTGGCCTTGTTCAACAAGCTTGATGTTCTGGATATTGAAAAGGTTGCAAGTTGTATCCTTTAGCATATCTTTTTGTAAATTGAAATAAATCTTTACCACTTACATATATTTTTTCCATCGGTTAATGGCATTCAAAATAATTGTTATGCCTTGTGTTGAGAGGCTGCTTATAGCTTCCTAAAATGAGATGTAAACAGAGACAGGCACCTACAAAATTAGACAAATAAATATGTAAAGAAGATTGAATTTAACAAAATTTGTGCAACTTAATATAAAACTCAGATGTGGCTGGGCTGCAGAATGAAGATGGATCATTTTCAGGGGACATGTGGGGTGAAATTGATACACGGTAGTCTTTTTTAATTTCCTCTACTTTTGGAATTTTATGATTTGTTGAAGTTGCCATCTCTTTATGTAGAACATGAACAAGTAACAAATTCTTTGCTGTTTCTTATAAAAGAAATTAACAAAACAGTAACACTTTCTTTTGATTTAGGTTTTCTTATATTGCTATCTCTTGTCTCTCATTACTACATCGTTTGGATAAAATCAATGTGGAGAAAGCTGTGAACTTCATTTTAAGTTGTAAGAATCATGATGGCGGATTTGGATGCATACCTGGTGCAGAGTCTCATGCAGGTCAAAGTAAGTTATTTACCCTATAGTGTCTCTAGGATGTTTACTTTCTGATTAGTGCTTAATAAATCAGTTTTGTTATACGTCCATTTTTAGACTTTTTTCCCCCTTTATTTTGCTTGTTAAACGAACTCTGTATAGGTTTTATTCAGAGAATCATGTTTACTTCAGATTCAGTTGTATATTGATGGAAACTCAATAGATCATCGAAGATGTTTCCTTTTTGTCCATTCAACGGATGTTAGCAAGTTACTCTTGCATTTTACATCACCTAGTTAAGTTTTAAGCTAAGGCTGTCATTATTTTTTTCTTTTTCACTCAAGTTTTTAGCTAAGGTCATGTGACACATCTCTTTTTACATCATTCCAACTGCCAAATCTAGTGAAGTATCCTTAATCTTGCTTAATCCACATGCGTGATCCAGAAATGGCATAATTCGTTGTATTATCTGTATGTCAAAATTAGACTAAAAACTACAGCTTTACTCTGCACATTGTGACTGCAGTTTTCTGTTGTGTGGGTGCTCTTGCCATCACGGGGTCACTACATCATATTGACAAGGACCTTCTTGGATGGTGGCTATGTGAGCGGCAAGATAACAAAACTGGAGGTCTTAATGGTCGACCAGAGAAACTTCCTGATGTAGGGTTTTTTTTCTTTGAAATTGAAAATGAATTTGTTTCTGTTAACATTCTTGGACTCTTTCTTATGGCATTATTTGTTCATTTCAGGTCTGCTACTCATGGTGGGCTCTTTCTAGTTTGATCATGATTGACAGAGTTCATTGGATCAATAAAGACAAGCTTATCAAGTTCATTTTAGACTGCCAGGTTACATTTACCTAACGAGCTATTTGTACATTTGGATTATCGTTTAGGAGTGGACATTCTCCCTGTTTTCGTATTTCCTGAGTGAAATTCCAATCTTGTAACTATGGATTTATCTGAGATGCTTTGGCTAATTATTGAAAATTGCAGGACATTGAAAATGGAGGAATTTCTGACAGACCAGATGATGCTGTAGATGTTTACCACACTTACTTTGGTGTAGCTGGTATAATTGCTTTGCCTCTGCTTTGTTTGTTTTCCAAATTTCTTCACATAATAATTTGGCATGTTGAAACCTTTCTGGTTAGAGCTTCTGAGTTTCCATCTTGGTTCACAAGGGTAGCTAGTACCTGCTTATGAACCGCATATATTGCGAAAATGTTTATATAAGATGATTTGAGTTCTTCGTGTAATTTTCTCTCTACAGTACTCATCACATTACATCTAAAGTTGATGTTTATTGATGCAGGACTCTCCCTTCTCGAATATCCAGGGTTGAAAGCCATAGATCCAGCATATGCTTTGCCGGTTGATGTTGTAAATAGGATTATTTTAGACAGATAAAGGCTTTGTTTGCAACACTCTGATTTGGTTGAGCTTGCTGCAATTTGACACTTTTGTGGTTCTCTAATAGGTCACAACTCTCAACACCTTACTGATATGTAGAATATACGTTTTTCACTTTGGATGATCCATAGACATTCCAGTGGTAGTTGGATGAAATGAGTAAATTAAGTTCACAGCTGTAGCGTGTAGCAGCCACCACCCCACTCCATGAATGATGGATCTCATTTATGAAGTGTGTTTCGGAGTCTGGGGATTGAACTCTGTCTGGACTTAGAAAATTGTGGTCCCTGTTCTTCAACATTCGATGTCATCCAATTCCAAGTTTCCTTTTCTACTTGGTTTCTTTGTAGAAAATAGGTAGATTTGATGACTGAACTTTGATACATATCATGATACATTTTCGTCTAATCTAATTGAAACTTGGTAACATTGGCATACATACATATATGCCATCAAATCAATCAAGGGAAGAGGCCCTACTATCTTTATTAGCATGTCAGATTATTTGTCATCTCCCATCTTCGGATATTCGATTTGGAGCGGCTTACGAAACCCACATTTGATCAATGGTTGGAAATCATCTATCTACGCACATTTGATCTATGATCATACATTATCTAGTCACCGAGAAATTCACCACAAAAATGATCCGAATCACGTAAAACAAGTATCACATCGCATCTCAGTCACGAAATGGTAAATAACAAGAGCCAAAATGTCTTTAATTGCATCCAGGTTGTGTTGCCACTTGCAATTTGCAAACAATATGATTATGAGAGAGAGAGAGAGAGAGAGATAAGCTAATGTTTGTTTGCATGTGACCTTGCGTGACAAGATTCACGATTTGAGCATCAAATTCTTCAACGTGCATGATACATATTACATATATATTATAAAGTATACTATCACGTGTGAGTTTGTGGGATCGATTTGGCTCTTCCATTTGGCTCTTTTCATTTCATTGGAGATTTCCAATGAAAACAGCCGTCACCTCCACCCAATCCCATCCCCTTCACCCAATCCCATCCCAGCCGACCTCAGTATTTCAAACACAATTCACGTGCCCACTCTGCCTCCTCCCTCATTCCTGTGGAAGCTAGACTCAGAGAAGCCTCAGATTCTAATCAATCAACGAGACACACGTCAGCATTCCTCAAACATTAGCCTTACGTGTACGGATGTGATTGCCAGAACTTTAGGCCAAGTGGGGGTTGGATTGGGATTTAACATAATAAAATAGGCCAAGTTGGGGTTGGGTTGGGTTGAGATTGAATACAATAAAATAGGGTATTTGTTGGAAAAAGGAAAAAAAGAGTGAGAGTTTTGAGAGTGTGTGTGGGATTAAAAGGCGTCATGACCGAAAAGACATGTTCATGCCAACATGCGTGCACTCTACCTCCCTCTGTCCTTGTTTAATCTGACACGTGATTTTAAATATTTCACTGTTTCATTTTATTTTATTTATTCATTTTCTATGTTAAGAAATTTGAATTCCCAGCAAGCAGGAGTGAATCCTGAATTCCCATTTAAATTGAGCGCAACCCAAATTACAATTTGATGTGAATCAATGTGGGCACAAATAAATTGGGAGCTTTGGTGAAATTGTACACTTACAACTGCTTTCCCAGTAATGGTCATGTTGCCTCATAAGCCTATAGATATGATGGATCATATAGGCCTGGAACCCCTTTCTTTGCAAGAAACCATCAATGCAATTACACTTGCTCTCACCTACTATATTTTTGCATAATTCATTTACTCAAAAATAAAGAAGAATATGTTGTTATCACTCGTTATCGAATCTTTAGAATTCCTCACTTCTCTCGTTCAAAACCGTGCATAAACTTTCATCTTGCACGAATCCTAAGTGATAAAAGAATGAAGAACTAATTTTTTTTCTTTTTTATAATTACCTTTCTCGTGTACGTATAAGATTGAATCCATTCAATTACTAATCGCTAACTTTTCAAGAATCCATAATTAATTCTTATCACAAATGTAACATCTTCATCACTCGTGTCAATCGAACCTAACACCTTCTTTAACCATGTCAAGACAAATCTCGCTACACCAAATGCAATAATTTCTTATAGAAATCCTGATTTTTTTCAACTCATTATTATTGCCAAAGAAGTACAAAATTCTTTACCATTTTCTTTTATTTTTTGGGTGGTGAATTCTTTGGTCCCAGTCCCATCCAATTGAACGCTGCGGGCCAGCGGCCCTGCCAAGTAATTCAACGGCTGTGTAGTACAATGTCTACAAAATATCTCTTGCCATGTGGATCTATGCCATTGGTTGATCATAAGCTTTTTCTTTTTCTTTTTTCTATTATTAGAAGCTTTTTCTAAGGCTGTAGGCCAATATCCTAAAGCATAATTGCTATCATTTGTTTTTATATAATATACTAGCCTCTTCTGCAAGTGCTTCTGCATTTGCGGTAGGCTTTTTTTTTTCTTTCAAAAAAGTTTAAATTTATTTTAGAATTAAAGAAGATAATGGATAGTTGTGTTTTATAAAAATAAAATCTATTATCTGATTTAGTGTAAATTTACTATATTATCCTCTGATATTTTGAATATTTTATGTATTTTGCTGTATATATATAGATTATAAGATGAACAAATACACTGTTACATTGTAAAAGGTTGATTTTATTTTGTACACCAGATACAGTAATAAATAAACTGAACAAAAAAATAGAATACTATATTTAATTTAATATATATATATATATCAATGGTGGACAGCTTCTCTTGCCTCAACCAATCCATAACAGGGATTTATAAAAAACAAAATTATATTCCACATCAATATATTTAATTGAGTCAACTACTACTCATTTAATCAAATCCGACATTGCTTTTCCATGATGTGGAATACAAATGCTGCCAATGTTTCAAGGTAGGGGTAAAAAAGGCAGCCCATACTTAAGGACAATCCAATTGCATTTTGGTTTACGAATACTAATTAGCCATTTATATTGGCGTATCAGCTTCTCAAGTTGCTAAGTACTTATAACCATAACGCGACATATTTGTATTGGTATAACCCGAATTCTCCATTTAGAGAATGGATTTAGATTATAGGTAAACTTGTTCGTTTAGGTTAGTACAATTCATGTATGTCAAGCTTTGCACAACAAAAAAATAGAAGATAAACGGATTTCAACTCATTCCTTCCATGTAATCATTTTCATATTATATTACCTCCCGTCTAATGCGGTTCTTATATTTATAGCAAATTCGGGCTTATTCTCAAATCCAAATCATTTCTTTTAAATCCCTCCACTTAAACCGGGCCTAACTTTATATTGAATTCGAATCATGTCATATCTTGCATCAAATTATCACCCATGATCTCATTTTAAATGTCCGTACACAATAATGTTCTGACTAAAATAAAAAATAACAATGATAAAAATTCTCCAAAATATGGCCCCCATCCCAAGAACCCAGAAAACAAAGGTTTTATTATAGCATTGCATAGTGCGATTGTACTGAGCTGGCACTGTCATTACTCAAAGCAAAACAAAAAACAAAGATAAAGTGAGGAAAAAAAAACTGCTCCATTCCTCTGCTTTTCCTCCAATACCACCAAGTGATGCTTCATTGACAGCTGGCCTCGTCAGTGAACCAGCTGGAGTTTCCTACGTGTCGTGGCCTCATTGGAAGATCTGTACCCCGCTTTAGGGCATGGACATGTCGTACCGAAGGGCAGTAGTGCCCCTCCAGAGCCTCACAGCTTTGGCCAGCTAATCAGTGGGAGGGCCTCACAGAGAACAGAGTAACGGCTACATTTTTAATCTCTTGGGGTGTATTTATCGAAATTTGAAATCATACGTGGCTGGTGACTGGAATTGAGTGACGTGGACAGTGAAATTGGTGAAGGGGCTTGTGAGAGAAGCCAATTCAAACGGGCTATAAAAGGCAGTGTTTTTCGTGTTTCTCTCCAGACTCGGGACTGAGAGCATTTCAGAGTTGAAGAAGAAGAAAGCTTCATTCTCTCTCTCTCTTTCTCTAATATCTTCTTCCTCTTCCATGGCAGTTTCAGCTTTTAAAATTATGTCTCTGTTTCTGAGTGTGTTTGTGGGTTTTGCATTGGTGGGTCTGGTTAGCTCAGCTAAGTTTGATGAGCTTTTCCAGCCTACCTGGGCTTTCGATCATTTCACCCATGAAGGAGAGCTCGTTCACATGAAACTTGACAACTTCTCTGGTATATACCATTTTCTTTAGAAAATCAATCTCTACCTCTAATGGTTTCTTTAGAGTTTTTGAAGCAGAGCATCAAGCTCTGTTTTTTACCCAAAAAAAGCTCTGTTATTTTGGTTCATTATGCAGAACAAAAATGGTTGTTTTCTTGAATAATGCTTGCTCCTCCTGCTGCTTGACTAATATGATGGTGGGTTTGAAATTTCAGGAGCTGGGTTTCAGTCCAAGAACAAGTATTTGTTTGGCAAAGTAAGCCTTCAGATTAAGCTTGTAGAGGGTGACTCTGCTGGAACAGTTACTGCTTTCTATGTGAGTAAACACTACTACCAGTGTGTTTTTCAGAACAAAAAGCAATTCTTTTTTGCTTTATTCCATTATTTTCTGATATATTCTGCTTTAAAAAATATTAATTTTTGGAAGTTGAAAACAGCTCAGCTTGTTGTGGTGGATCGATTTGACGTACTATTTCTTTAGACTAGGCTTTATTTGACCCATCATTGTGCTACTACTGATACTACCAGTAGCTCTTTACCTGCTCTGTTTACTCTCTTGAAGTTTTTATTTTTGCTAATCCTGATTTGATTATTAATTTGTTCTAATCTTATTACTAATTGTTTTCTCATTGCTTAATCCATTTGATAATCAAATCCATATATAGAAAATCTTGTGACTTTGAATTGGCTTTTATGGAACCAACTACCATGTATCAGACTCTGACACTGAAATTCAATTCCCCTTTACTCATTCATATGCACTGACTGATATTAATATCATGTCTTATGGGTGATGTGATTTTTTATCTAATTCTTCAATCTGTTTTCCTTTTCTTGATTTGTTTGTGTAGATGTCATCGGACGGCCCATCTCACAATGAGTTTGACTTTGAGTTCCTGGGCAACACCACAGGCGAACCTTACTCAGTGCAGACCAACATTTATGTGAATGGTGTCGGCAACAGGGAGCAAAGATTGAACCTTTGGTTCGACCCCACCACGGAGTTCCACTCCTACTCTATCTTCTGGAACCAGCGCCAAGTAGTGTAAGCACTTAACCTTCTCTCGTCACATTTTCTGTGTACATATGCATACATGGTGATAGTGAGCTCGTCTCCATGCACTTAAGTTTGACTTTCCCCTTCCAAATATTAGATTAGTTAGACAAGTTTAAAATATCACGTGTATAATAAATAAAGATTTGTGTGTACATGTGTGATAAGTGGTCATTAGTAATTACGATTTCAATGGAGCAGAGGCATCCTGCAGTTCATATTCCAAAAGCCAGCTGCCAGTGTCATGAAGGCAGCGTGTGTCTAAAGATCAGTCTCTGTCTAAATATAAAGTTGAAAAACAAAAACCAAAAAAACCATGGAAAAGGGAACGAATCTTGCATGATGTCTGTAGGGTCGTCTGCTCTGTTTTGGGCCACTGGGCAAGCAATGGCTTTGGCATTTTGCCATATGCCGTACTGCATCATGTCTTATATGTGAGGTAGTATTGTAAGAGTTTGACAGAGACCCCATTGGGTTAAAAAATAAAAAATCTGATATTCTTCTCAGAGTTCTCATCTTGATGTTGGTAAAAGTGAAAAATTATATCTTAATAAAAAAGGGCCTATAATTCTTTCTTCTGGTGGGTTCCTTGTGTTGAAAATAAGTTTTTACTTAAGGGGCTCGTAGGGTTTAGACTATTTTTACTTTTGCACTCAAGGTTTTATGTTGGATTGACTTATGTATTCTTCAATTGTTGGTTTTGTTCAGGTTTCTAGTGGATGAGACACCAATTAGAGTCCACACCAACATGGAAAACAAAGGGGTGCCCTTCCCCAAGGACCAAGCTATGGGAGTGTACAGTTCAATATGGAATGCAGATGACTGGGCCACACAAGGTGGTAGGGTCAAGACAGATTGGTCCCATGCACCCTTCATTGCAACCTACAAGGGCTTTGAAATCAATGCCTGTGAGTGCCCAGTCTCTCTTGCAGCAGCAGATAACGCAAAGAAGTGCAGCAGCAGTGGAGATCAGAAGTATTGGTGGGATGAGCCTACATTGTCAGCCCTCAATCTCCACCAGAACCACCAGCTCGTGTGGGTTAAGGCTCACCACATGTTCTATGACTACTGCACTGATTCTGCTAGGTTTCCAGTGACACCTCTTGAGTGTGTTCATCACCGCCACTAGGGTTCATGGCCTTGGGAACATTGAAGGAGAAAAAAAAAAAACTTTGTACAAAAGAAAGGGCGAAAAAAGGAGGGGGATTAAAAAGCTATAAACATGTGCTCCATGTTTTTTTTAAATCTTTTGTTCGTTTCTTTTGTTCTGTTTGGTCTCAGGTTGTATGATAGGCGTGGTAATTTCAATGTGAAATATGAATTTTCTTTTTTCCTTAAATTTTTACTTGTGTGATACTGAGACTTACTGCTCACTACCAAACATCGTACAAAATCGCTAGCTTGCATGCGTTCATAGTTTCCTGGTATAATTTTTAGGTCACGGGGAGAACAATCATGGTTGATGGTAGTAGGTAGGGAATGGGAAAAAGTTATGCGACAGGGAAGGAAAATGCCTGAAAGAAACAAATAGTGGACCCCAAATTTGGGATGTCATTTTTTCGTAGTGGGCCAGCCTCTTCAGTCAGTCCTCAAGGCAAGTGGTGAAAGGGAATGAAAGTGAAACAAGGGCAAGGCTTGGCTTTTAACAAGCCGAGTGGTTAAGTGTTTCATATCAATGAATAAGTTCATATTGGAAATGGAAATCGAACTTAGAATCTCGAATGTATGAATCATTAAAGTTATAAATTCATTTTGCATGAAATCACACTTGTTATTATGGGCCAAAACATTTGGCGGTCATGATTAAAGAGAAGTTAATAAAGAACCGAAAGTCATTGGCCATGTGAATGTGTGATGGCATTATTGGTTTGGTTTCTTCTCCCTTGTAAAAGGGGAATGTGGGAACAATGTCATTGTTTGTGCCTTGGTTTTTTCAAAGTGATATGACAATGCTTGACATGCATTTTAGACAATTTGTGTTGGGAAGAAATCAAATTAAGCAAGGAAGGTCACAAGAATACAGTTTGAAAGCTTCTCTTTAACTTTTCTCGTGAATTCACGCTTTCTTCTTTCAAGGGTTGAAAGACTGTTGTTTCCTAACTCTTCCTATACTGCTGGGCCAGAGCTTTCTTATTACCTCTGCCACAAACACGTGAAACTTGTGTAGAAATTAAAACCTAGCATTATGGACTAGCTTGCATGATTGAGTTAAGTAGCACCTTGTTTAGATGGGGGACCAATAATTTAAATTTGAGGATCATATAGGTTCCTTTCTGTTCAGGATAACCTAGCTACTGTAACTTGGGATAACTTTGCTGGTTTTTGGTGGATTCATGACATAATCCAAAGCTCCTAGGTCCCATACAAAAGATAGGACATGAAAGGGGGTTGGAAGAAGGTGATGGTTTTCCACTCAGATGAATAAATCTGGTCCAGAGTAAATAATGGAAAAACACAAAAGCTGAAAGGAGCCATTTCACAAGAATCAAATCAAATGACTTACTTACCGAGGAGAAAAACTTGTGTGGAACAGAGATAGAACTGTTTTGTTATCTTTAACTAATCATAACTTTTCCACTTGACCGGAGATAGCAAAAGAATACTATGTTCCGTTGCACATAAATTTTTCTGTTTGAGGAGCGTCCTCTGCTGTAGATGGGTTAAATATAACAGCAACTCTGCTTTCTGTCGTGTTTTCTTTTTGGTTAAACACAAAACTTGACTGATTTAACATGTATTCTTTTTCTTTTCTATTGCTATGATGAGATGGAGCTACCACTCATTTAAGAGATACAAGATGAGGTGGTAGATCAGGAAATAATAAAGGCAATAATTAATTCTCAGAGTAAAACACATCAGGCCCCATTAACACCCACCAATCTTTTTTATGGGTGGAAAAGCTTTGAATTTGATCATTGAGGACAAAAAACAAGTGAAGCATCAAGATCTAGAGAAGACAATGATGGTGGTTGATAGGCATCAAATTTGAGTTCATCATGTACTGAAGGGGCTCATGGCACTGATGAAAGTGGGAGACAGAGCTAAATGCAAAATAAGCTTAAAGTGGTTTTGTCAACTTGTTGAACAGAAAATGAACATTATATATATATATATATATAGAAGTATACATTATAAGATGTTTTAAGAGAATATTATATGTAATTAGAAGCGACAAGAACAGACAAAGGGGCTCATATTAATCCCAACAAGTAGAAATCAACCATGTTTAGCTTTGGCATGGAAGAGCTGCTATTGATCATTAATGGAACCACAAAAAAAAAATGTTGATCACATGTCATGGCAGAGAATCCAAAGGAACAAGAAACCAAGATTCTAGCAATGATATTAGAGAAACACTTTCATAATCAATAATAGAAATGAATTTTGAGACACTGAATTATATTTTATTAAAGTTATATCAAATTTGGAATAATTCAAAAACAGATACAAGATAGCTGATATAGGCTTAGCCAAGTTGACTAGAGCTAATGTGCTCCTCACTCTGCACCCGAGATCGAATCCCCCTCCCCGTAGTTTAGATTAAATTAAAGTAGATCATCGTTTGTATAAAAAAAAAAAAACAGATATAAATAAGTTACAAAATAAGTACGTATAGAGCTAAAACCCTAGACTATAAAAATAGGAAACCAATATAATTGATCCAACATCAAAGACAAACCAGATCATGTGACATTCAATAGCTACACCTATCTTGCACACATTACTATAAAAATAGGAAACCAATATAATTGATCCAACATCAAAGACAAACCAGATCATGTGACATTCAATAGCTACACCTATCTTGCACACATTACTATAAAAATAGGAAACCAATATAATTGATCCAACATCAAAGACAAACCAGATCATGTGACATTCAATAGCTACACCTATCTTGCACACATTACTATAAAAATAGGAAACCAATATAATTGATCCAACATCAAAGACAAACCAGATCATGTGACATTCAATAGCTACACCTATCTTGCACACATTACTATAAAAATAGGAAACCAATATAATTGATCCAACATCAAAGACAAACCAGATCATGTGACATTCAATAGCTACACCTATCTTGCACACATTACTATAAAAATAGGAAACCAATATAATTGATCCAACATCAAAGACAAACCAGATCATGTGACATTCAATAGCTACACCTATCTTGCACACATTACTATAAAAATAGGAAACCAATATAATTGATCCAACATCAAAGACAAACCAGATCATGTGACATTCAATAGCTACACCTATCTTGCACACATTACTATAAAAATAGGAAACCAATATAATTGATCCAACATCAAAGACAAACCAGATCATGTGACATTCAATAGCTACACCTATCTTGCACACATTACTATAAAAATAGGAAACCAATATAATTGATCCAACATCAAAGACAAACCAGATCATGTGACATTCAATAGCTACACCTATCTTGCACACATTACTATAAAAATAGGAAACCAATATAATTGATCCAACATCAAAGACAAACCAGATCATGTGACATTCAATAGCTACACCTATCTTGCACACATTACTATAAAAATAGGAAACCAATATAATTGATCCAACATCAAAGACAAACCAGATCATGTGACATTCAATAGCTACACCTATCTTGCACACATTACTATAAAAATAGGAAACCAATATAAGAATTATTGGAAGCTTCGAGAGGCCTAACAGTCTTCCTAGCATTGTAGGATCTCATCTGAATATAATTTATGGTTTCTTTCTTTGTGTTTACTCTCTGCTGTTTTAATCCTGGGAAGACTTAGGTTTAGTGTCTGTATACTGAATGAGTAATTGAAGGATATGTGGTTGCATTGTATGTTGGCGGTTTTGCGTGCCCGTATGTTGGTTTGATTATGGACATTGCGCTAGGTGGTGTTTCGAGGTGTTGCTTTTTCTTTAGTTTTCTCTAAGGTTGGCGTAGCTGAAGCAAATTTGGCCAGTAATTAAGTGTCGCTTTTGAAATAAAGTTTATCTCTAAAGACAAAGCGTTCTTTCTAATATTGGCAGGTGGCTCATTGTATTTCCTGTTCAGTACAAAAGTTAACTGCATGACCAAGTTGGTCAAAACAGATCCGAGACAGGATGGATCTAATCCTGTGGCTGAGACTCTTGCGAAGTGGAAAGCATATAACGACCATCTGGATTCGTGCAACGATGAAAGTAAACCAATTCGTAGAGTACCAGCCAAGGGATCAAAGAAGGGATGCATGAAGGGTAAAGGCGGGCCTGAGAACTCTCGTTGTAACTACAGAGGTGTTAGGCAGAGGACATGGGGCAAGTGGGTTGCAGAAATTCGGGCACCAAACAGGGGCAGTAGGCTCTGGCTGGGTACTTTCCCAACTGCAATTGAAGCTGCACTTGCTTATGATGAAGCTGCAAGGGCCATGTATGGTTCTGCTGCGCGCCTTAACTTTCCTAATATATCAATTTCCAGTTTGTCAAAGGATCCTTCTTCTAGGGCAACTCTTTCAGCGCCTTCCTTGTTAGCAACCTCTGCAGGTTCAGAATCCTCAGGAAGATCAGACCACTCGGAGGAGTGTGCTGCTCAGGGAAAGGTGAATTATCTTTCCCCTAATGTAGAGAATGAGGATACGACGACGAATCAAGATCAAACGAATGAGGATGGAGAAGATGAATGAAGAGTCAGTCTCTGACCTTCTCGGGCATTATGATGTACATTTTTAGTATACATACTTGGGTTGGGTGATGGTGGAGGGTGGATTTTCATATTGTACGTGGGAGATGACAGGAATTTTGATAACTGTAATTGGGAGACAAGCAATTTTTAAATTTTTAGTTTCAATTCTCATTTGGAGTATAGAGCTTCTTACCTTTCCCAGGGCTAATAAAAGCAAAGGAGAAGAGGAAAAAAATTAGAAATTAAATAAAAGCCAAGGCTAATGCTTTCCCAACAAGAAAAGGAAAAAAAAATAAAAATAAAAATAAAGGCTAATAATGGTTTTAAATGTAATTTTGTTAGTGGGTTGTCCTGAAGTCCATAGGAATCCTACTATCAAAAGCAAAGGAGTACATGTTAAAGGCGGTAAATCTCTCAAGCGAAATCTATATAAACCGCAAACCAAACCCAACTTCAAGAGCAAAACCAAAACCCCCCCACAAAACCCTGGAAATCCCAAACCGGCATTAAAGCTCCAGAAAACTTCTTCACGCAGAAACACAGTGCTCGTGAAGATTTTCCCACACCTTAATATTTGGTTCACAATTCGATTTGGTTTCTTCCTCTGTTTCGCAGTAGTATGCAGAGCAACGGCGAAATTGCGCCACCTGGCACCGTCGCATCGTCTGTTCTTCCACCGCCGATGGCGGAGCCCGCCCTCTTTGAGAGGGCTCGGACATGGCAGAAGCTCGAATCGAAGCGGTACGGCACTAAGCGAAAGTTCGGCTTTGTCGAGGCGGAGAAGGAGGACATGCCTGCGGAACACGCGAGGAAGGTGCTTAGAGATCACGGGGACATGTCGTCCAAGAGATTTAAACATGATAAGCGAGTGTACTTGGGAGCGCTTAAGTTTGTTCCTCATGCTGTCTACAAGCTGCTCGAGAATATGCCAATGCCATGGGAGCAGACCAGTGAAGTTAAGGTTTTGTACCATGTAAGTGGAGCAATAACTTTCGTGAACGAAGTGCCGTTGGTTGTCGAGCCGATATATTTGGCTCAGTGGGGGACAATGTGGATTATGATGAGGAGGGAGAAGAGGGATCGTCGGCAATTCAAGAGAATGCGGTTTCCACCATTCGATGACGAGGAGCCTCCGTTAGACTATGCTGATAATCTGTTGGAAATTGTTGATCTGCCGGAGCCAATTCAACTGGAGTTGGATGAAGAAGAAGACTCTGCTGTGTGTTCTTGGTTTTATGACCATAAGCCTCTGGTGAAGACAAAGCTCATCAACGGTCCAAGTTATCGCAGGTGGTATCTCTCGCTTCCGATTATGGAAACGCTTCACCGGTTTGCAGGGCAGGTACTTTCCGATTTGGTTGACCGCAATTATTTTTACTTGTTTGATAGGGAGTCTTTTTTAACTGCCAAAGCTCTTAATATGTGTATACCAGGTGGACCCAAGTTTGAACCTTTGTATAGGGGCATGGAGAAAGGGGATGAGGACTGGAATGAGTTTAATGACATAAACAAACTCATTATCCGGTCGCCTCTCCGAACTGAGTACAGAATCGCATTCCCTCATCTCTACAACAATAGACCTAGGAAGGTAAAGCTTTCTGTTTATCGTACTCCCATGGTTATGTACATAAAAACTGAGGATCCTGATATACCTGTGTTTTGTTATGATCCACTGATACACCCAATACTGAGCACTAACACAAAGAAAACTTATGATGATGATGAGGAGGAGGAAGATGATGGTTTTGTTTTGCCGAAAGGGTTGGAACCGTTTTTGAATGATACTCAGCTTTATACTGACACCACAGCTGCAGGAATTTCCTTGCTGTTTGCCCCACGCCCTTTCAACATGAGATCTGGTCGGACGAGACGGGCAGAGGATATACCTCTTGTGTCTGAATGGTATAAAGAGCATTGCCCTCCCTCGTATCCAGTTAAAGTTCGGGTCAGCTATCAGAAATTGTTGAAAAGTTTTGTGTTGAATGAGCTGCATCATAGACCACCCAAGGCTCATAAGAAGACGCATCTGTTTAGATCTCTTAAAGCTACCAAATTTTTCCAAACTACAGAACTTGATTGGGTTGAAGCGGGTCTTCAAGTCTGTAAGCAGGGATATAACATGCTAAATCTATTGATCCATAGGAAGAATTTGAATTACCTTCACCTTGATTATAATTTTAATCTGAAGCCTGTGAAAACCTTGACAACAAAAGAGCGTAAGAAATCTCGGTTTGGTAATGCTTTTCATCTCTGTCGTGAAATCTTGCGGTTGACAAAGCTTGTAGTTGATGCCCATGTCCAGTTCCGTTTGGGTAATGTTGATGCCTTCCAATTGGCTGACGGCCTGCAGTACATATTTTCCCATGTTGGTCAGTTGACTGGCATGTACCGTTACAAGTACAGGTTGATGCGGCAGATTAGAATGTCCAAAGATTTGAAGCACTTGATTTACTACCGGTTCAATACTGGGCCAGTAGGGAGAGGACCCGGATGTGGCTTCTGGGCACCAATGTGGAGGGTGTGGTTGTTCTTCCTTCGTGGCATAGTACCTCTTCTGGAAAGGTGGTTGGGAAATTTACTTGCCCGACAATTTGAAGGGCGCCATTCAAAAGGAGTGGCAAAGACTGTAACTAAGCAGCGTGTCGAAAGCCATTTTGACTTGGAGCTTCGAGCTGCTGTCATGCATGATGTTCTTGATGCCATGCCAGAGGGCATCAAGCAAAATAAGGCCAAGGCTATATTGCAGCATCTCAGTGAGGCATGGCGTTGTTGGAAGGCAAATATTCCTTGGAAGGTTCCTGGTTTGCCAGTTCCCATAGAGAATATGATTCTTCGTTATGTCAAGTCAAAGGCCGATTGGTGGACAAATGTTGCTCATTATAATCGTGAACGTATAAGAAGAGGTGCTACAGTGGATAAGACAGTTTGTCTGAAAAATCTTGGGAGATTGACTCGCCTTTGGCTAAAGGCAGAGCAGGAACGACAACACAATTATCTGAAAGATGGTCCATATATTACACCAGAAGAGGGAGTTGCAATGTACACGACAACTGCACATTGGTTGGAGTCAAGAAAGTTCATCCACATTAAGTTCCCCCCTTTGTCATACAAGCATGATACAAAGCTACTTATCCTTGCTCTCGAGAGGTTGAAGGAATCTTACGCTGTGGCTGTAAGATTGAACCAGCATCAAAGAGAGGAACTGGGTCTCATTGAACAAGCCTATGATAACCCACATGAAGCTTTGTCACGAATAAAGCGCCACTTGCTCAGTCAGCGTTCCTTCAAAGAAGTTGGCATACAGTTCATGGATTTGTACAGCGTTCTCATACCAGTTTATGAGATTGATCCTCTTGAGAAGATTACAGATGCATATCTTGATCAATATTTATGGTATGAGGCTGACAAAAGGCATCTCTTCCCAAACTGGATCAAGCCTGCAGATTCAGAGCCACCCCCACTCTTGGTTTATAAATGGTGTCAGGGAATAAACAATTTACAGAGTATATGGGACACAAGTGAGGGGCAGTGTGTGGTGATGCTTCAGACTAAGTTTGAGAAGTTCTTTGAAAAGATTGACTTGACAATGCTAAATCGGCTTCTAGGTCTGATTCTTGACAGGTATCTTGCTGATTATATCACTGCGAAAAACAATGTGTTATTGTGTTACAAAGATATGAATCATACAAATTCTTATGGTCTTATACGTGGTCTTCAGTTTGCATCATTTGTGGTGCAATATTACGGGCTTGTTGTGGATCTGTTACTTCTTGGATTGACTCGTGCCAGTGAGATTGCGGGTCCACAGCAGATGCCAAATGAGTTCACTACTTATCAGAACACAAAGGTTGAGACTCGGCATCCTATCAGGCTGTACTCTCGATATATAGACAGGGTGGATATGCTGTTCTGCTTCACTCACGAGGAGGCTAGAGACCTTATCCAGAGATATCTGACTGAGCATCCAGATCCCAATAATGAAAATATGGTTGGATATAATAATAAGAAGTGCTGGCCAAGAGATGCCAGAATGAGGCTCATGAAACATGATGTAAATCTTGGGAGGAGCGTTTTCTGGGATATGAAGAACCGTCTTCCTCGAAGCGTCACAACTTTGGAGTGGGAAAACAGCTTTGTTTCTGTTTACAGCAAGGATAATCCAAATTTGCTCTTCAGTTTGTGCGGGTTTGAAATTAGGATACTTCCCAAGATAAGAATGAGTCAGGAAGCATTTAGCAGCACGAGAGATGGAGTTTGGAATTTGCAGAATGAGCAGACAAAGGAGAGGACTGCAGTTGCTTTCTTACGAGTTGATGATGAACAGATGAAGGTGTTTGAGAATCGTGTGAGGCAGATCCTTATGTCCTCAGGGTCCACAACATTCACAAAAGTAGTCAACAAATGGAATACAGCCCTTATTGGTCTTATGACTTACTTCCGTGAAGCAACTGTGCATACACAAGAGCTGTTGGATTTGCTGGTGAAATGTGAAAATAAAATTCAGACTCGTATTAAGATTGGATTGAATTCGAAAATGCCGAGCAGGTTTCCACCTGTCATCTTTTACACGCCAAAAGAAATTGGAGGTCTTGGCATGTTATCTATGGGTCACATACTGATTCCACAAAGTGACCTCAGATACAGTCAGCAGACAGATTTTGGTGTGACGCACTTTAGGAGTGGAATGAGTCATGATGAGGACCAGCTGATTCCAAATCTTTACCGTTACATACAGCCATGGGAGAGTGAATTTATAGATTCACAGCGTGTTTGGGCAGAATATGCAATGAAAAGGCAGGAAGCTCAGACACAAAATCGGCGTCTAACCCTTGAAGATTTGGAAGATTCATGGGATAGGGGAGTACCTCGCATAAATACTTTGTTCCAGAAGGACCGTCACACTTTAGCTTATGACAAAGGGTGGAGAGTTCGCACAGAGTTTAAGCAGTACCAGGTCTTGAAGCAGAATCCGTTCTGGTGGACACACCAGAGGCATGATGGAAAATTGTGGAACTTGAACAACTATAGAACCGATGTTATCCAAGCTCTTGGAGGTGTTGAGGGAATACTTGAGCACACCTTATTCAAAGGAACATACTTCCCTACTTGGGAGGGTCTTTTTTGGGAGAAGGCATCTGGCTTTGAGGAATCTATGAAGTTTAAGAAGTTAACCAATGCACAAAGATCTGGGCTCAACCAAATCCCCAATCGTAGGTTCACCCTTTGGTGGTCGCCAACCATAAATCGGGCCAATGTATATGTGGGTTTCCAAGTGCAGCTAGATCTGACAGGAATTTTTATGCATGGGAAGATCCCAACCTTGAAGATATCATTGATTCAGATATTTCGAGCCCACTTGTGGCAGAAGATTCATGAAAGTGTTGTCATGGATCTCTGTCAGGCTTTGGATCAGGAGCTGGATGCTTTGGAAATTGAAACTGTGCAGAAGGAAACTATACATCCGAGGAAAAGTTACAAAATGAACAGCTCCTGTGCTGACATTCTTCTCTTTGCTGCCCATAGATGGGCAATGTCAAAACCTAGTCTTGTGGCTGAAACAAAGGATGTGTTCGATCAGAAAGCAAGCAATAAGTACTGGATAGATGTACAACTCCGTTGGGGAGACTATGATTCTCATGACATTGAACGTTACACTCGAGCCAAGTTTATGGATTACACAACTGACAACATGTCTATTTATCCTTCTCCCACAGGGGTGGTGATTGGTATTGATTTGGCTTATAACTTACATTCTGCGTTTGGTAACTGGTTTGCTGGGTCAAAACCACTACTTCAACAGGCAATGAACAAGATCATGAAGTCAAATCCAGCTTTGTATGTCTTGAGGGAGCGGATAAGGAAAGGATTGCAGTTGTATTCATCTGAGCCTACGGAACCCTATTTATCTTCCCAAAACTATGGGGAGATCTTCAGCAATCAACTTATTTGGTTTGTTGATGACACTAATGTGTATCGTGTTACAATCCATAAAACATATGAAGGAAATGTGACTACGAAACCCATCAATGGTGCTATTTTCATATTCAATCCAAGGACTGGGCAGCTATTCTTGAAGGTCATTCACACAAGTGTGTGGGCAGGGCAGAAGCGACGTGGTCAGTTGGCTAAGTGGAAAACCGCAGAAGAAGTTGCTGCGCTTGTGCGTTCTCTACCTGTTGAAGAACAGCCAAAGCAAATTATTGTCACTCGTAAGGGAATGCTGGACCCGTTGGAGGTTCACTTACTGGATTTCCCCAACATAGTCATAAAAGGAAGTGAACTGCAACTTCCTTTCCAGGCTTGCTTGAAGAATGTGAAATTTAATGATCCGGTAGTAAAGGCCACTGAGCCGCAGATGGTTCTTTTCAACATTTATGATGATTGGTTGAAGAGTATTTTATCATGCACTGCATTCTCCCGGCTCATTCTGATCCTTCGCGCACTACATGTGAACAGTGTTAAGGCGAATATGTTGTTGAAGCCTGACAGAACGGTAATCACTGAGCCACACCACATCTGGCCTTCTCTTTCTGATGATCAATGGATGAAGGTCGAGGTTGCTCTAAGAGATGTCATACTATCAGATTATGCAACAAAGAACAATGTGAATACATCGGCCCTGACACAGTCTGAGATTCGTGATATCATACTTGGAGCTGAGATTACCCCACCTTCTCAACAGAGGCAACAGATTGCAGAAATTGAGAAACAGGCTAAAGAAGCAAGTCAGCTGACAGCAGTCGCGACAAGGACTACAAATGTGCATGGTGATGAACTTATTGTCACCACTACGAGTCCTTATGAGCAAAAAGCATCTGGGTCCAAAACTGATTGGCGTGAGAGAGCAAAGTCTGCTGCAAATCTGTTCTTGCGAGTCAATCATTTATACGTGAATTCGGAAGAGATAAAGGAAACGGGTTACACTTATATTATTCCGAAGAACATCTTGAAAAAGTTTATCGGCATTGCAGATCTGAGGACGCAAATTGCTGGTTACTTATACGGTGTAAGCCCTCCTGACAACCCTCAGGTCAAGGAAGTTTGCTGCATTGTCATGCCACCTCAGAAGGGAACCAGCCAGCAGGTTTATCTCTCATCAGTTCTTCCTAAGAATGATTTCCTCAATGATTTGGAGCCTTTGGGATGGATGCACACGCAGCCAAATGAGCATCCGCAGCTTTCTCATCATGATGTCATATCTCATGCGAAGATGTTAGACAGCAACACGCAATGGAATTTGGAGAAGTGCATCATTTTAACCTGCAGTTTCACTCCAGGTTCCTGCTCGTTAACTGCATATAAACTCACTCCACCTGGTTATAAATGGGGACGTCAAGTCAATAGACAAGGCAGCGAAGGTGATATAACTCCACAGGGATACCTTCCAACTCATTATGAGAAGGTTCAGATGCTTCTCAGCGACAAATTTCTTGGTTTCTTCATGATACCAGATATTGGTTCATGGAACTACAATTTCATGGGGACGAAGCTTACGTCTGGTATGAAGTATGACATCAAGCTTGGGATACCCAAGGAGTATTATGACCAGGACCACCGGCCCACCCATTTCCTGCAGTTCAGCAACTTGGAGGAGGGTGACAGAGAAGTCGTTCGGGACGATAACTTCGCATAAATATTTTTTTTCTGGAATGCAAGGCCAAAGGTGTACAAGGTTATGTTTTTCCAATCACCATACTCATCATTCTTGTCATAATCACTGTCTGTAGAATAGAAAGTTTAGTATTTTACTGGATAGCGTAAGTAGCCCATTTGAATCTATTTGTTTTGTTCATATGTTTGTTGTCTTCCTTACGAGTTTATCTTTTCTAAACTAGTTTACATATGCTTCGTCATTAGTTGCTAACGAGCATATATTTAAAGCGTAAATAGCTGAATAATCAAACTGCCAATTTCTAACCTTTTGAGAATATCTTAATCCCCCCAGAATTTGGATAAGATAGTATGCCATTTAGTCAAGGACAAAGGTATCGTAGATATTTTGGACACAAATCTGCAGACAAATTTGGCGCATCCATGATGCCAGGAGGCAATCATGGGGTTCGAATTTAAGGACATGAGAGGCATAGCTCAACTGAAAAACAGAGGCCACACAGGTCATGGGCACAACCTAAGCTCTATGTCTCGACCTTTGGAAACTTAAGAGAGTTCTACAAGTCACATATATATTATAAAGACATGAGTGATCCTAGGCTATCAATAAGGAACAGGATTATAGGCCACACAAATTCGCATTCAGTTCCAATAAAACATTCATAATACATACCCTACAATTATACCATTCTTATCCTTGCGTAGTTGCAGTTCAAGATATTACAAATTCACATGAAAAAGAATCCTCCTCATCAACCATGTGTTTGAGAGAGAGAGAGAGAGAGAGAGAGAGAGAGAGACAACTAGTGTAGCAGACACACGTGTCATTGGCTTTTCATGGGATATCTAAAGTGCAAAAGTCTGTGAGGCATCTCTTTAGGCTTTTGAGCTCTTTGGACTCTGGCCAGTTTGGTGGAGACAGTTCACACCTCACACAGTTTGCTTTTACCCCCCACGACGATGGTTCGTTTTGGTAAATCTAAATCTAGCCAGCAGCTCATTAGCTAAAAGCCATCTAAAACAACCCACCATTGCTCAATAAAGTCAAAATCCTTAGATCAGTAAAGTCTTAATTATCACTTATCTGAGCATCTACAACTGTCCATAATGTATATTATTTGTTCCTTAATTACCATGACAGAGTAATCTTTTATTCTTTTTCTTTGGGATGACATAATGCAATGCCATCCTTTTTAATTTGTCAGCTTGCTCTTTAATTATAGGGGTTGACCGTTGACCAAAGTTCACCTAACCAAGTCACATGAGTGTTAGGGTAAAGGAAGCATGAAAAAAAGGCAGGCAAAAAGGAAAAAAACAAAACGAAAGAAGGTTGTTGGTTCATAAGATTATGAGTTCATATCATGAAGTGTCAAAGACTGAAGAGCCCAACTGCTATTTTTCCAGCTGTAACACCAGCTGTGCCCTATTGATCCCAAACTAAAAGGGGGAAAAGAAAAGGAAAAAAAAAGAGACCCTCTAACCACTCTTAAATCACTTGCAAATTGAGCCCTCCAAGGAGCTGGCCAGAAAGCAATGAAATCAAAATCAATAAAACCGGAGAAAGCGACACCGTTTCGTGACTGCGACCACTCTCTTCCCTGGACCCGTAAGGCTTTATGAAACTGCCAATATGGACTAAAACGGAGAATCATCCGTGTTTACCATAAGAAGTGAAAATGCAGAATAGTATACGTAGAGCGCGTGATTAAAAACAAATGTCCTATACATGTGAAGAGCTAGTATATTTTGAATACGAACGATATCATAAGAATGTAAAATCGAACATAAAATCTTGGAAAATATGATTTTCGAGAAAAGCTGAAAAATTATAAATTCCTCCAAATTAATTTTGTAACACTCCTTTCTTCCGCATGACATATGATATGGTGGTATATCAAATGCTCAGGGCCCGTTTGGTAATGTTTTTAGAGAGCATCTTTAGAGAAAAATGAAAACGTATTGAAGATGCGTCTAGTAGATTAATTAGAAAACATCTTCAGAAAACAAAAACAATGAAAACGTGTCTGGTAGTACAATGTGAAATAATAATATGTGAGTTATTTTTATGAAAACGTTTCTCATGAGAATGAAAACAACTTTTTTCATTTTTCTACAGGTACACATGAACTTGTTTTCATTTTATGAAAACATTCTCAGTATTTTCTATTTTTGGGCCATCATATCATATGTCATGGAAATGAAAACAACCCCTTAAAACATTACCAAACAGGCCCTTAATAGTTTTGAGAGAAAACCCTCCTTCCATATTGTTTTGGGAAGTTTCTTCCCAAAGCGAAAAGTCCTTCCCATGCCCATTTCTTTCCTTTTCCTTTATTTGTTTCCAGCTTTTTGTCCTCCAAAACAATCACTACACATCTCGAGCCCTGAAGTGCGCCGCACAGTGTATCCAGTTGTAGTTGCATGTCGTTTTGTACTTCCACTGCCCACAGATGTCTCTTTCTAACGCTTTCACCTGCCTGCCTGCCGCCTATTCTCTTCCGCGTATCAAAACTTTCCCGGATCCCAACTTCCTCTCTACTCCACCACACCACAATAAAACTTTTACCACACATGGGGCCCACTACCCAACAACAACCTCCTCCCCTGATCGACTGAGCTTCAAACCACACGTCCATCCCTACGCATCCATCTAAGCCATCCGTTCCTCTCTATATAAACCCCCCAACCCAACCTCATTCCAATCTCAATCTCCCCAAAACCCAACCAAAGAAAGAAACAATATTCAAGCAAGTCTTCTAGCAATAGCCTCATATTCTAAACCCAATGGCTAGACTTGGTCTGATTTGCTTAGTTCTAGCTGGGTTCATGGTGCTTCAAGCCACCATGGCTGATAAATCCCAGGATTTGGAGCTGAATCCATTTGAGGAGGTGAAGTTCCAAGATGGGGTTTTTGTCAGAGAAGCAGAACACTCTGTTTCTGTTGCTGCAGAGCCATCATCTGAGAGTATGCAGGAAGCCCAAGGGGCTGAAGCTCCAACTAGCAGGCGTTTGGGACCAGGAAAGCATCACTCCTCTGATAAGTCTATGGCTGGAGGAGGTGTCATTATTGGTGGCCTCGTCACTACCATTTTTGCAGCTGTTTTCTGCTACATCAGGGTTACTAGAAGAAGGGGCGGTGTTAAATGAGTGTAAAGGAATGATTTTGATCAACACAGATACAAAATGATATCAGAATTAGATGATTTAGTGTAGTCAGAGATTCATCTTATTATTATTATGAATATTAGTGAGTGTGAATATTAGATTGAGATTTCTTTGAAGAATATGCTTTATTTTTGTGCATTTCAGTGCTCTGGTTAATTGCTTTCTTCTTCCTTTATCTTTTTCTAATCTCTCAAGTCTTAAGCTGAGATATGGCCTGGTTTATGGTCTGCAACAAAATGCCTTCTTTTCTTTCCCTCGAAGCAACTGTAGGAGCTTCTACTTGAGGGAAGTTTTTTTCTATTTTAAATCATTTGATTTGGTCTGCCAAAAAAATCTAAAGCTGATTATGTCGAGGGTTCCAAAAGAGAGAGCAAAATTATAGTGTTCGCATGATGGACGTACAAAATTTGAGCGCTCCAAGAAGAAAGTAGGATTTGCCAAGCACATGATTTTTCATATAAAAATAAGAGGCAGGTCGGTGCCTCTGTCATGCTGCAACCACCCTGCAATATTGATTGAATGTGCATGAAGTTTTCCATCTTGTGGAGGTTTTATCATAAATGAACGCGGAATCAGGTAGATATATATATGAAGATTCACCTGATTTTTTTGGGAAATGGAAAGAGTCAACTGGAAGAAGACAAATCTTCCAGGCTTTCACATGCGAAGCAACCACTAAACCAAAATCTTTCTTTTGGAACTACATTCCCCTGCGTTTTCATTTCAGTCACTCACTCTATTGTTTTTTTGTTATATAGTATTCAATTAAAATACAATTAAACAAAGAAGTTCAATTCAACGTCCACCAGTCCACCAACCCAGCATTTGTAACTGGCTCCTCCAGGCATTCATGGTCTCTGCCGGTGGATGCGACTCCTTTTCCTAAATGGGGCCTTTTTAATTTATAAATACGACTTCTTCCCTCCTTATTATGTAAGTAGAAGTTCTTATATTTTTGTCAATAACATTGGACATATGTGCAGAACTTTTTTTTTTTTTTTGGTCGTGTTTTTTTATGAATTATTTTTGCATTTGTTTATCTGTGATTTGCAGGAAGGAGAAGTATCTCTTACAAGTAAGAAGGCAGAAGTTGTACATTTGGACGGTAAATTGGATACGGAAGTTGAACATTCAGCAAAAGATTGAACAGGGAAAGGTTGGCCGTTCGGCATGAAACTACGACTATAGAGCCTCACAAGTCTCTTGGGGTCGACCAACTTTATCAAAATAACTCAAACATGCTCTCATCTGATTGGACTGCTAGCAAACAGATCAAGGTCTTCCACTCAAGTTGCAATTTGGTGAAGAAAAGGGGACACAATCTTTGATTGATGCAAATTTTTCTTATATAGAAAAAGTATCCCTATTTATTGTGGTTGTAGAGGGAGAGGCATCATGTGTCTTCAAAATGCTCGGAGGGTCGGTCGTTGTCACTCCTTTGTTGATATCTACAATTTAGCTTCTCCAATGAACCAAAAGTTACATGAATTAAAAACAAAAACAAAAAATTGAATGCAATGGCAGCTATGCAGAACCCCAAATTGAGGTTTAGGTGAGAGAAAGCACCATTTCCATGTGTTAGCTTAGAGAAATTGTTATTAATACATAATGATTTCATGTCATCAAATAGTGGGTTTTATCACTTGTTGACAATGAGGATGTTAGGAAACTCATCCTTGCCATTGAGGAGCCAAACACTGTTTAAAAGTGAATGCATAGTTACCAAATCTTTCTATAAATTGTCATGAGAAAGAGCTAATCAATTAAGGATACAACAAATTATAGGTTACTATATATATACTTCCCCAGCAATGTAGGTCAGTTGGCAAGGCACTGTGCCGGTCTCCTTGCACCCGAGTTTAAACCCCCTACCCATACATTAGAATAATCCCAATCCCCACCCATTCCAAATAAGATGGGGAAGAAGAGAAAAGAAAATACTTGGGCTTTATTTAAGCCTTGATTGAGGACTTGAAGTAAGCCCAGCTGAAATTCTTATGCGTTGGGCCAAGCCTTTAGCCCTTGTATGAACATAGAGCCATTAGGTTTTTGGGGTGTCTTTGCCATCGACAGTCAGTCAGTTACATTCATCTATAACTGCCCTCTGTTTTTCCCTCCAGATTAACAAACTCAACTCTCACAAATAACAAAGAATACCTCTCTCTCTCTCTCTGTGAAGAAAGAAAGCAGACTTGAATCCAACACCAATGGCTTGTTGCACTCGTTGGCATGCAGCAGTCTACTTCACCATGGCTGTAATCTTGGCCTTCATAGCAATCTCCATGACACTGCGTTCAGAAGCCAACGATGAAACTTCACAAACCAAACCCATCAGCCACATCGTCTCACTCAACGCCTCAAGAACTCTGAGAAGAGCCGGCTTCAACATCATGGCCACTCTCCTCCAAGTCTCACCAGAACTCTTCTTTTCCTCTGCAAACGCAACCCTCTTTGCTGTCAAAGACTCTGCCATCTCCAACGCCACTCTCCCTCCCCGCCTCTTGAAAGACCTCCTCCAATACCACACCTCCCCTCTCCAGCTTTCAATGGAAGACCTTCTGAGCAAGCCTCAAGGTGCTTGCTTGCCTACCCTTTATCAGCAAAGGAGCATTGCAATCACCAAAGTTGATGAGAAAGAAAGATCGGTTGAGATCAATAATGTGTTGGTTTCACACCCAAATCTGTTTCTTGAAGGACCCATTTCAATTCATGGCGTTCTTGGCCCATTCTCTGCTTTGGATCCTCGAGATGTTTATCAGGGTCGGGATATTATTCAGTCACCTGCCTGTGACTCCAATTCAAATATGATTTCTGATGTTCCTCCTGATTTGAAGAACAGGGTTGAATGGTCCCGGATCATCCGATTGCTGAACTCAAATGGGTTCGTTTCGTTTGCCATTGGGCTGCACTCTGTTCTTGATGGGATTCTTGGAGATCATAAGGGTTTGAAGTCCGTGACAATTTTTGTTCCACCAAGCTTGGAGCTTGAAGCATATCCTACTCCTTTGCTTGAGAAAATTGTGAGGTTTCATGTTCTGCCACAGAAGTTTACAAACAGAGATCTTGAATCGTTGGCTCCGAGAACATTGCTCAGGACCCTGCTTCATGGTCAGCCTCTTGAGGTCACTGGGGCTGTGGATTTCATGAAAGGATTGGTCATTAGTGGAGTGAACATTGTGGCCCCTGATATGTTTTCTTCCAGCAAGTTCATTGTCCATGGGATTTCCCGAGCTTTGGAGCTGGACAATTTGCCTAATACAGCAAGATAAGGTGGTTTCATTTCAACTGGTGCTGGGTAACAATCTCAATGCCTCTTCTCCCTCAGCCAATGGATATTGAAGTCATGCAAAATCGCAAGGCAAAGGGACATCACCTTGCAAATACTTTTAGTTCCTTCTGTTTTTGTTTTGGATACATTGGTGTAGGTGGTTTTTGCAACACAAGATGATTTTTGTTTAGGATAGAAGGGCAAGTTTCTTTTGCTGCATCTGAAAAAGGCATTGTCAAGCAACATCTGACAAGAAATGTCCACTCTCAAATGATTCAATTTGTAGTTGAATGAATAAGTGACTAAATAAGAAGTTTAAGACTGTAAGTTGCAATGACATAAGACTCATATATAGTTTTCAGCTTATGTGTTTGATGAATGCTACTAGTAATTCATGAATGACAGGCACAGAACACAATCTGAAACCTGCTAAAAGCACGAGTTCTGCACATCATTCGGTCAAATTAACAAAAGCCGGAATTAAGGCTTTGGGAGAGTAAAGGCTGGGGAAAAGAAAAATTTATGTCAATCAATCAGTTGGCTACTACACAATCTGAGTATTCCACTATGCCTGAATTCTTTTCTCCTCAACAAGGTTATAAAAACCTCTAAAGTAGAAGAGGCCACACCTTGGACACAATCATTCGTCCTCTAAATTCCTTACTGATCATTCAGAACTTGATTTGAAAATCATCAGGCCATTACAGAACAGCAGGAGAAGATCCAGGGATTAGAGTGTGAAACAACAGGGAAGGAAACCAATTCAATAAGCATTTTATGAATCATCAACTTCAGATGTAACAAATTGCGAAACTCGGTCCAGGACCAAATTCTCAAAACCAATGCTCCAAGACTGATAACTTAAGAGCCTCTAACTAAGTCGACCAAAGAAAACCAGATATTGATATGAATGAAACGCAGCCTTTGGCATTGATCATTATCAAGCCACCAAACAAGATGTTATGTTCTTCGGGCCAATTCACATTCAGCCACGCATGTCTGTTTTGAAAAGTCATTAACAGATTCTGTTCAGATAAGAAGAAAGCTTGGAGTTTGTGATTTCAATTCAACTAGACAAAGAAATTGCTGGATAACTAATTGTGTTCAGTCAAAACAGAGATTTGAATCCTAAATTTTGCATTAGAGTAACAAAAGATTAAATGAGTAAAAACAAGACAGACAAACCTGCCTGCTTAGGTGCATGAATCAACTAAACAATACATTGCAAAGATGAGAGGAAAACAAAACATACCAGGAGACTTGAGAGTGAAACCATTCACTCAATCCCAAACTCTTTACAACACTTCTAAACTTAATCCAGTTCCATTCAAGTTAATTCAGATGTACCAAACTGTGAAACTCTGTCCAGGTCTGAATTCTCAAATCCAACGCTTCAAGACTGATAACTTACGAGCCTATAACTAAATTGACAAAAGAAAACCGTGTGTTGATATGGATGATATCCAGCCTTCAGCATGGATCATTATCATCCCACCAAAGAAGATGTTATTATCAATGCTCTTAGGCCAATTCACATTCAGGTACACACGTCTGTTTGAAATGTCCAAGCTAGTTGCAAGTAGGATATCCTAAACTTATGTAATTCATTAACACTTTCAGATAAGAAGAAAGCTTGCGTTTGTGATTTCAACTTGACAAAGATTGTGTTCAGTCTAAACAGAGGTTCGAACTTCGAATCCAAAATTTTCCATCAGACAACAAAATATTAAATGTGTAAAATTAAGACAGACAAACCTGGCTCTTTGGTGCATGAATCAACTGTGAAATACAGTTCAAGGATGGGAGAAAAACAAAAAATACCATGACACTTGAGAGTGAAACCATTCACTCGATCCCATACTTAATCCAGATCCATTCAAGTCTTTTAAATCCCAAATTCAGATTATAAGTATCACACTATCCAATCTATAAACCATCGCCATAATCACACACACACAATTTGGAACAAAAAAAGAGAAGAATTACCAAAAATCAAGGTAAATGCTGAACTTTCATAATAATCCTTGTCATTCTCAATCCAGTCAAAGTAACATTAAGCGCACCAAGAAAGCTTGAATTCGTAAACAAATCTACAATCTCCCTAACCTCCTCATCCCCACATTCGTCAACAACCACCACACAAACTCCACCAGCCCTCACAGTCCTCTCCATCTCCGACACAAACCGGTTCGGAAACAAAGCCTTTGCGAAATGAGCACTAAAACCCAAATCAAACACATCGTCAAAGAAGGGCAAGTTGTGGGGATCGGCCCGGCTCACCAGAGGAGGCGAATCGAGGAGCTCAATTCCGGTGACGTCGGCGACGCCCAACTGGTTCAGGGCCATGACCTCGTGGCCGGCACCCGCTGAGACGCAGAGGACCTTGGAGTCGTTGTGCAGGAGACCCATTTGATAACATGCGCGAAAGAAGTTGGAGAAGGACTGGACTTTGTTCTGCCAGGTCTTGGTGGACCAGAGCCGCTTGTTCTTCTTGTGCAGAGGGAGGAGCTCGCGAGGCGATGAGTCGCAGGAGGATTTGGGGAAGCGGAGATGGGGCTTTGGGGGCGAATCTGGTGCGACGCAGGTGTCTGGAGTTTTGAGCAAGAGGAGGATGAAGGTGATTGTGCCTATGGTTATGGAGACGTACGAGAGCCTCTTCAAAAACATCTGTATGTGCCTCTCCATAACAGAGACCAGAAAAAGCTTTGTATCAATGGTGTTATCCACTAGAAAAAACTTGGGTCTTCTTCATTTTTGGACCTCGCTACAAATGTCGAATTTTCAGCCGCTTGAATTTTCTCAAAAGCCCTCAACTTTTAATCTAATTACACAAATCTCTCCGCCATTAAATTAAAAACGCGGTTTTTTCCCCAGCGCCTTTGAGCTTTCAACAACTTCGTCCCTTCCACTGTGATGGCTGTGACTCTCGTTAGGAGAGCCTCTCTGCTTCCCCTTCCCGCCAAATTCCGAACGCCGGCTCCGAAAACGGCGACGTTTTCCAAATTTGAAATTCCGGTGTCTTTTTCATTCACTTTCCTCAGTCACTATTGTTCGTCTGCTCTCCGTTTAGACCCATGCTACTATGGCGACCAACAACTCCACTACAGCTACGATTCTGACTCCTCCTTCGCGTCTCTGATTGATGGTTCGACCCAAAAGAGCCATTTGGGTCAAATCCACGCGCAATTACTTGTATTGGGGCTGCAAGACAGTGGCTTTCTAATCACCAAATTGGTGAATGCGAGCTCGAATCTTGGGTTTGTAACATATGCCCGTCGGGTGTTTGACGAATTTACTGACCCGGATGTGTTTTTGTGGAACGCAATCATTAGGTGTTATTCTAGGCACATTGTTTTTGCTGATGCTTTAGGAATGTATGCTAGGATGCAAGCAATGGGTGTCAGTCCAGATGGTTTTACTTTTCCTCATGTGCTTAAAGCTTGCAGTGGCTTGCCGGACCTTGAAATGGGTCGCCGGGTTCATGGACAGGTGCTCAGGCATGGGTTTGAATCAGACGCGTTTGTGCAGAATGTTCTTGTGGCTCTGTATGCCAAATGTGGTCGAATAGAGCGTGCTAGGGCTGTGTTTGATTGTTTAAGTGAGAGGACGATTGTTTCGTGGACTTCGATCATTTCGGGTTATGCCCAGAATGGCCAGCCTTTGGAAGCTTTGAGGATCTTTGGCCTTATGAGAAAATTGAATGTGAAACTAGATTGGATCGTTCTAGTTAGTGTTCTCAAAGCTTATACTGATGTAGAGGACTTGGGACAGGGGACATCAGTTCATGGTTGCTTAATTAAGATAGGTCTTGAATTTGAACCGGACTTGCTCATTGCACTGACAGCCATGTATGCAAAAAGTGGACAGGTGATGGCTGCCAGATCATTTTTTGATCAGATGGAAACACCAAATTTAATATTGTGGAATGCTATGATTTCTGGGTATGCGAAGAATGGTTATGCTGAGGAAGCTGTAGAGCTATTCCGTGAGATGATCAGTAAAAGTATAAGGCCAGATTCAATTACCATGAGGTCTGCTATCTTAGCATGCGCCCAGGTGGGTTCTGTTGGCTTAGCAAGATGGATGGATGATTATATCAGTAAAACTGAGTACATAAATCATGTTTTTGTTAACACAGCCCTGATTGATATGTATGCAAAATGTGGAAGTGTAGATTATGCTCGGATGGTTTTTGATAGAACACCTAATAAAGATGTTGTTGTCTGGAGTGCGATGATTGTGGGCTATGGATTACATGGCCGAGGACGAGAAGCCATTGATCTTTACCATTCTATGCAGCAGGCTGGGGTGCCGCCGAATGATGTGACCTTCCTAGGGCTCCTCACTGCATGCAACCACTCAGGCCTTGTGGAAGAGGGATGGGACCTTTTCCACAGCATGAAACACTACAGGATTGAGCCTGGCAACCAACATTATTCATGTGTGGTTGATCTTCTTGGACGTGCAGGCCACTTGGATCAAGCTTACGATTTTATCATGAAAATGCCAATTGAACCTGGCATAAGTGTATGGGGAGCACTTCTGAGTTCATGCAAGATTTATCGTCGCGTGACTTTAGGAGAATATGCTGCAGAACAGCTTTTCTCATTGGATCCATATAATACAGGACATTATGTTCAACTCTCAAATCTCTATGCTTCAGCTCGTTTATGGGACCGTGTCGCAAAGGTACGAGTACTGATGAGGGAGAAAGGACTGACTAAGGACCTTGGACATAGCTTGATTGAGATCAATGGGAAGCTTCAGGCATTCCATGTGGGAGACAAGTCTCATCCAAGATCTAAGGAAATCTATGAAGAGCTTGAGAATCTAGAGAGGAGGTTGAAGGAGGCTGGATTTATCCCACATGCAGAATCTGTTCTGCATGACTTGAACCAGGAAGAGACAGAGGAGACACTTTGTAATCACAGTGAGAGGCTGGCAATTGCTTATGGCCTCATTAGCTCTGCTCCTGGGACTACACTTCGGATAACCAAAAATCTTCGAGCCTGTGTAAATTGTCATTCAGCAACCAAGCTAATATCTAAGCTTGTCAACAGGGAGATAGTTGTTAGGGATGCAAAGCGTTTCCATCATTTCAAGGATGGGAGTTGTTCCTGTGGAGATTATTGGTGAAGGAAAGGGAAGGCAAGCAGTAAATTTCTTTCTGTGTTCTGTTTCAGCTTCACACAAGAACACAAGTTAGTTCTCCGTCCGTCTAAACCAGAATTCGATTCTTCGAAGTTGGATGTCTGCCGCGGAATCAATTGGCCTTGTAGAACTAACACGGATGATCGCCTGAAGCAATTTGGATGGAAGCAATGCAAATTAGGGGACACATGAGGCAACGCTCGAAATCTTGAGCTGCAAAGAAATGTTAAAGGTTTTGAAGCAGAATCATATCAACCCAAACAGAAGCTGGTTTTGGCCAACACTGGGGTAATGGTAAAATCGAAAGGAAGCATATTAAGCAAGAAGGTTGCAGGGGTTGCTTGAAGTAGCTTGGTGATGCTGTAAATTATCACTTCACTCGTGAGTTATTCATCCTTAAACCAGTTTGGAATAATTGGAAACAGAAAGCACATATTTTTTCACATGGCAAAAAATATTTAGTCTAAGCAATAATAAAAATTGTTGCTTCCATGTTCCATCTTTTGATCCCACTAGAATAGCTCTCCAAGTTTAAAGAGCTTTAAGTAGCCCTTAACTAATGAGGATAATATCCACTATCAACTTATTGATCTTTTGAAATTAAAGAAAAATCATCTGAAACTCCAATGTGAGAGGTATGGACAATAGCGTAATCTTCAAAAAATTGTGGCTTGAACCAAACACGGAAAAAAAGGAGGAAAAAATAGAGGAATCTTGAACACCTTTTCAATCAACGCACCAAAACAACATTGCCAGCGACTACAATCACCCTGCACAAAAGAAAAGTAAGGAAAATTAGAAAAATAAAGAGCAACAAATCGAAAACCAAAGGAAAGAAGTTACAAAAAAACAAATACACATGGGCTAAACCAATATTAATGCCCATCACTTAATGAACCGGAAAGAAAAAAAGGCACCAGCAAACCAACAAAACAAACTGATATGGTTTTGTAGGTCGCGCCAAACCGCCAGTAACTGCTCAATTGTCGCAACTGCTCTGGCAAAGGCTATTCACCAGGAGAACACCAAAATTGCGACGGAAACATATCAGAAAAGTAGGTCACCCAACAGACTTCTGCCCCAAAAAGAAACCAACCATCTTTGTGTGTGAAACAGCAAAAAGACACATTCGACAATATGACTGTGAAACACTACCTACGCTGCTTTGTGAGGGACCAAGTGAGAAGAAAACCAACAAACAAATTAAAAGACATAAAAGAATAGAAAGATTTGTCTAGGGGTTAACCCCGCCATTTCAGCAAAAAATAAAAAAAGAACAGAAAGATTTTTAAGTTGATTGAAAAGAGCCATCTTGCAAGCGCAGAAGAGATAAATACAGAAAGGAGAAAAAGATTATCATCGTTTAAGAAAAATATCAAAACACAAAACCATTTTGCTTAAAGAGATAAATTCGTAAAATGATAAGTTATTTAAATAAACAAAATTAAAAAATAAAACGAAAATAAGAGTTTAATGTGCCATAAAATTCTCCAGAGATTAAAATTTTAAATTTAAAAAAAAAAAAAAAAACCTATTGTGTTGCAATGAATCAGAAATCAGTCCAAGAAAAAAACAGAAAAAGGAAGCAAGACATCTCTAGAATCGAAGAACATGGAAGAAGCAAGCAATCAAAACATAAATGATCTCCCAGAGGAGCTCCTCCTCCGCATCCTCACCTTCCTTCCCACATTAGATTCCATCCAAACCTCTCTCATATCCCAGAAATGGCGACCACTCTGGTCTCGTGTTCCCTCCTTGAACTTACCTTTCGAGCTTTTCCCTTCATACGAGCCACCCTTGGATACCCGCCAATTCTTCGCCGAATTCATCGATCGCGTTCTCATTCTTCGCTCCAATTCTCCCATCCATACTTTCCGCCTCTCCTTCATCTATCATGATCACTACGGCTCCCATGTCGATTCCTGGGTTCGCTCCGCCATAACCCACCTCCACGCCCGTGAGCTCCATCTCGACTTCTTCATCCACAAAGATTTTCATGATGAGGAAACCCTAAATCACAAGTATGATTTCCCTTTCTCTGTTCTAAGAAATGGGTATGTTGAAAACTTATGCGTTACGCGATGTGATCTTACATTGCCGGCCAAAATGTCCACTATGCGCTTTTGCTCGATTGGGTCCATGTATCTCGACCAGGTTTATTTGACGGACCAGATAATGAGTGATTTGATTTTGGGTTGCCCCAATTTGGAGGCTTTGGAGCTTCAAAACTGTTGGGGGCATCATCATTTGAAGATATGTAGCACAAGGCTTCAGAAGCTAGTACTTGGGTATTTTTATGATTCTGAACTCCAAGAGACGCTTGTGATTGATTGCCCAAACCTTTTTTCGATCAGTTTTGATTGCTGTGCCTTTGACAAGTTTGTACTTAAGAATGCGTCGTCCCTGGTTGAGTTTCATGTTGATATTGTGCACCTAATCGATGGGTCCTATTGTTATTGGAGCAAGGTTGTGAGACTACTAGGACAAGCACCTAATGTTAAGCATCTTAATGTGCAAAATTGGTGGTTTAAGGTAATTGTCTTGACCCGTGTTCTGATCAATCATTGTTTACCGTATGATGATTTTGTTTGACTTTAAGTTTTTTCATTCTTTTTTGTGTGTGGGAATTATGCCAGAAGTTTGAGGAATATGCAACAATGTGATTAGTGTTCTGATTATGTGATTTAGGGATATGCAGAAGTCTGGTCCTTTATCAATCTTGTAGATATAGCTGTGTATATTTTTTTAATGATACTGTATTTTCAGGTAGTTAAAATAGCTAGCAACATGAGAGGAAGTAAGGCTTTTTAGCTTTTCATTGAAGGTGAAAGCTTGTCATTGAGTCTTGTAGTCGAAAGAAAGATGAGGAAAGGATAATTAGCTGTTGACGTCTGCTAATTTTTCAAGCCTTAGGCTTAGACAGAGGAAATGATCAGTGCCTAGTTTATATAAATTGGTCATGGATTGGTCTCCCAAGAAAGAAGTGGTCGAGGGACTGAATAATACAGGAAAATAGCATAGTTGCTTGTGGACTGTAGTATGTTCGATCACTAACCATGGGGACAATTTAGTGCAAAAATGCATTTCCTGTGCCAATATTGTTTTTTGTTCTGTTTTTTCAAATAAAGGAAGGCTAGTATTCAGTAAGATTTAAACTGGATATTCTGCATTTTACATTTCTGCAGCTTGCTTGTAGTGCAATAAGTTGCTAAACTTTCATAATCGGTAGATTTCTCATTCAGACAGGTATAAATGCGATCTTGTAACTTAGTGACATTTTACAAAATTGTTTTGAGAAAATCAGCTACCAAGAAAAGGTCATGTCTGTTTTTTCTTATCTGAAAAGACAAAAACAGGTTCTTCCTTGATGATCCCTCGTTCTAAGAAGCAGGATTAATTGATGATTAACCATGCCATTGTGCTGACTTGTCTCGCCTTGATGTTGTGGCTTCAAGGGTATCCCTGGGAACTCTTATCATAGAAGAGTCTCACTGGAAATGAAATCTGGTAGCATGTCTCAGTGACCAGCCATGTGTGTCTCTGCTAGACACGCTTTCACTTCCTAGCTCTGTCAAAATCAGTGATGTGCAACATTTTATTCATAGATGGCCAATCTCTTTGGCTTAACCTCTGCAAACTCGGAGATTTTCAAATTTGACTTTTTACTAGTCAACCTTTTCTTGCTTTTTTCACTATGTATGAGCACTGGTTTCTAGAGTTATTATGTAATTGAACATCTTCTAATATTGATAGTTGTTTTCTGTGCATATGCCCTCAGTTTCTGACCTCAAAGGATCCTTTCCCCAAAAGTTTTATGCTCCACAATGTCAACCTCCTAGAGTTGAGAACGGGATTTACACAATATGATCTGGTTGGCATGGCTGCATTGCTTAAACTTTGTCCCAATCTCGAGACAATGATTCTACAATACCTTTTCAAGATAGGGGAAGATGTGAGTACTACATACTTTATCTTATGTTTCCGTATTACTTTATATTTATCATTCTCTTTCATATTCCATGCATCATATTTAAAATTTGATCTTCTAATTTCCAGGATAGGTTATCAGAAGAGTTACAAAATAAACCAGTTAACTTGAGCATGCCAAATCTCAAGCAAGTTACAATGAAAGCGTATACCGCAACAGAAGATGAACTTAATTTTTTGAAAATCTTGATTGGGCAAGGAGTTGCCCTACAAAAGATTGTGCTTGCTCGCACCCAAGTTGGCGAGGAGGGACAAATTGGTGAGAGGTCGCTTCCTATAGTGGTTCTATATAGAGAGGGTTCACAAGGTTGGAAGTGCTCATGGGCCCTGCACTCCGCAACACCGCATAGTATAGACTCTGAGCTTTAGATGGGGAATCCATTGGCTCATTCCAAGGTTTCTTGTTTTTTGTTTTTCTGAAAAAGGGTTTAAAATTAGATGATTGTTGCAGATATGTTTGGATTTGTTTTACTGATTATCTTTCCGTCCTATTTCTTCATTAAAAACACTGCAATTTTGTAGAGTAGAATGTTTCTTCTTGCGTTACAGAGGGGCGGAAAGGCCCAAAACTTCCATCCTCGTCTTCTTAGGAAATGAACTCCCAATACTTCTATTCATATAAAACAAAACAAAAGTATATTTTTTAATTTTAAACTCAAGTGTTATTGTATATGGGCTTGCTGATCGGGTTTTTATGGGTCGGTGGGCTGAGCTTTAGACACCTTAGCCCAAGCTTAGTACACTGAAAAATGGGCCAGGCCAACCTAGCGGCTTGTGAACCTTTGGGTCCAATGATGACCCATATTTTTTATTATATGGCGTTTTCTATTAAGAAGCGTGATATTATACTAAATTTACATATACTACACGAATATTAGGATTCGAAGGAATTCTAATGGCTCCCTATAATTTAATGCTGTTTTGTTTTAAACTTTTAATTAATGCTAATTATTTTTTAATAATATTTTTTATTTATAAAAATGAACCAATTATATTGAAATACAAAATAATTATAGTATTTATGACTCACTAAATTAGGGAGTATGATTGGAGTTCAAATTCTAAGAGAGGGAGCATTTTTGCTCACCATTTTAACTAAAGGTGTATGCTCACCACCACTTTTAAAGCTTGACATATGTCCAATAGTTAACCTTAGTTAACTTTTTGTTGAAAATTAAAAATTAAAAATTAAAAGAGCCCAAAGGCTAGCACACATCCCCGATTATCTCCCCCTTTTTTCTCCTTCCCTTTTTTATATATAATTTCTTTCCTCCTCCAGCCCCGACTCCTCTCTTCTCCCTTTTCTCTCTCCTCTTCCCCCACTCTCTCCTGCTCTCACTCTTCGCCTGAATATTTCCATTCGGATTTCCAGAATCCGCATTTAATTTTTTCTTCTACATCATCAACTGTATTGCAACTTACATTTTTCTTTTTCTTTTCTTGTAATCATATTTAATTTTTCAGTTTAATAATTAATTACTATTAGTATCGTGGAACGAAATTGGAGACTCCATTATTATAGTGAAGCTTCTGTATTTTGTCTCCAGTTTGAAATCCATATGCATACATAATACATATTTAGTTTATTTATGTTGGTTCCTAATAAAAACAAGAAAATGGGAAGATTGTGTTTTTTTTAATGAACTAATTTGCATTTAAATTTTATTGATCAATCTAATCATACTAAGATCACAAAAAGCTTAACCTCAATAAGATCGACCATGCAAGACCCTGTAATCAAAATTTAAACTGAGGGAGAGAGAGATACAGAGTGAGAGGGAGAGAGAAGGGCTGGGGGAGGGGAGGAAATAAATTTTTTATTTTTTATTTTAAAAAGGGAAGAGAATCGGGCTATGGGCTCTTTTTCAAATTTTTTTTTAATTTTCATATAAAAGTTAACTAAGGTTAACTATAGGACATGTGTCAAGCTTCAATAGTGGTGGTGAGCATACACTCTTAGTTAAAGTGGTGAGCAAAAATGCTCTCTAGATAATATAGGGTTGCGCTTCCCTCATTCGTACGGCCTCAAAAACTTACATCCATAGCGGTCAAAGGATTGCCCAACACTTGCGTCCAAAGCGTCCCTCATTCGTACAAAACTTGCGTCCAAGAAGCTCTTAAGATGGAAATATTTTTGCTCATCACTTTAACTCTAGGTATATCCTCACCATATTTTTTAATATTTGATACGTGTCTATAATCATGATTATGCATTTAGATATGTATACTTGAGAAGGGCATTGAGAATACACTTTGGTCCTAATTTTTTTTTTATTTTTTTTATTTTTATAGTTTGTATTTTTAGTTAATTTTCCTAGACATCCAAAGAAACCCAGGCCCTAGAATATGGAGGAAATGGAAGAGGCGAGCAACCAAAACCCAAGAGCCACCGTTACCAATCGAAACCTAAACGATCTCCCAGAGGAGCTCCTCCTCCACATCCTCACCTGTCTTCCCATATTAGAATCGGTCCAAACCTCCCTCATATCCCAGAAATGGAGACCCCTCTGGTCTCGTGTTCCCTCCTTGAACTTCCTCTTCGAACTCTTCCCGCCATACGAGCCACCCTTAGATACTCGCCAGTTCTTCGCCGAGTTCATCGACCGCGTTCTTATTCTTCGCTCCAATTCTCCCATCCACACTTTTCGCCTCTCTTTCATCTACCATGGTCACTACCGCTCTCATGTCGACTCTTGGGTTCGATCCGCCATAACCCGCCTTCGCACACGTGAGCTCTATCTCGACTTCTTCATCCACAAAGATTTTCATAACGAAGAAACTCATAATCACAGGTATGATTTCCCTTTCTCTGTTCTGAGAAATGGGTGCGTTGCAATCTTAGGCCTTACGCGATGTGATCTTACATTGCCGGCTAAAATGTCCACGCTGCGTTTTTGCTCGATTGGGTCCATGTTTCTCAATGAGGTTTATTTGACGGACCAGGCCATGCGGGATTTGATTTCGGGTTGCCCCAATTTGGAGGCTTTGGATCTTGAGAACTGTTTGGCGCATCATCATATGAAGATATGTAGCACAAAGCTTAAGAGGCTAGCACTTAGGTATTTTTATGATTCTGAACTCGAAGAGACCATTTTGGTTGATTGCCCAAACCTTTGTTCGATCAGTTTTAATTGTTGTGCCTTTGACAAATTTGTACTTAAGAATGCGTGGTCCCTGGTTGAGTTTCGTGTCGATATTTTGCACAAAATCGATCGGTCCTATCGTTATTGGAACAAGGTTGTGAGGCTACTAGGACAAGCACCTAATGTTAAGCATCTTAATGTGCAGAATTGGTGGTTTAAGGTAATTTTCTGATTTTTGTTCTGGTCAGTTATCGTATTTCTGTTTCGATTTTGGTTAATTTCTGAATTGGTGATTTTGTTCTTTTTTGTATGTGGAAAGTATGCCAAAAAGTTTGAGGAATATGTCGTAATGTGGTTGGTATTCTGATTATGTGGATGGCTTCTCATAGATAGGGTGTATTTTGGACTTGGTGATTTAGCCGTGTATTTTTCAATAAGACTTTGTCTTCTTGGAATTGAAAGAGATGAGAACATGAAAGAATGTAAGAATTCTTAGCTTGTCATTTAATCTTGGAGTCGAAAGAAAGATGGAAAGGGTAATTAGTTGTTGAGGTCTGCTCATTATTGCAGGGTTTAGTCTAGCCAGATGGAAAGGGGGTAGGGAGCAGCATATCCCTGGGAACTCTTATCGTAAAAGAGTCTCACTCGAAATGAAATCTGGTAGCATGTCTCACTGATCAGCCATTGTGATTCTGTCCCAGACATGCTTTATTCACTTTCTAACTCTGTCCACTTCATTGATGAGTGACATTTCGTTCATAGATGGCCAACGTCTTTGGCTTAACCTCTCTGAAAATTTTCATTTTTTGCTGCACCTCTTTGGAATTTTTCCCTCGTATGACCACTGCTTTCTGAGAGCATTATGTTGTTGAACCTCTTCTATATTCTTAATTGTTTTCTGTGTATATGCCCTCAGTTTCTGACATCAAAGGATTCTTTCCCCAAAAGTTTTATGATCCACAATCTCAACCACTTAGAGCTACGGACGGGGTTTACCCAATATGATCTGGTTGGCATGGCTGCACTGCTTAAGCTTTGTCCCAATCTCGAGACAATGATGCTGGACTACCTTTTCAAGATAGAGGAAGATGTGAGTACTTTTACATACATAATTACAGCAATTCTAGATGTTTCTATACTAATGTTTTGTCTTTGTTTTTTCTGTTCCGTGCTCCATATCTGAACTTTGATCTTATAATCTCTAGGAGACTTTATCAGAAGAGTTCTCAAGTAAACCAGTTAAATTGAGCATGCCAAGTCTCAAGCAAGTTACGGTGACATCTTATACTGGAACAGAAGATGAAATTAATTTTATGAAAATCTTGAGTACGCAAGGAGTTGCCCTAGAAAAGATTATACTTGTCCTTGGCCATGTTGGTGCAAAGTCGCGTCTTCAAATGGTTCTATATAGGAATGCTTCACAAAGTTGGAAGTGCTACGCACCAGATCTCTCCCCCACAACACTGAATTATATAGACTCTGAGATTTTTAAACAGGGAATCAATTGGCTCTTTGAAAGTTGTCTTGTTTTTTGAATGTGGAAGTCTGCCAGGAAATCATTTGGCCTTGTAGAATTTACATGGAATCATTTGGCCATGTAGAATTTACATGGAATCACTGTTTTGCCGTCCCTGACAAATAACACTATGATACGCGTGATAACACTTACACGTGGCATAGCATTATTTGCCGGGATAATCTGTTTGTAACTAAGGTTTTCTTCAAAGGAACTACACTGTAAAAACGTCCGGTTTGTATTTGACTTGGCAGCTATAGATTCTGTGGGGCACCATCCCTCGCCACCAACTTTTTTCCTATTTTGATTGTGGTTCTTTGACCTCTGTACAAGTCAGCATTTTGGTGCAAGTATGTTCACATATCAGCATCTGTGAATTTTTTTAAAAGCAAATCTTCCTTTTTCATTCTCTATTTTGTAATTGGATGGGAGTTGTTTCTTTTGTTAAGTTTCTTGATTGGAATCGAACTTGAGACCTCTTCTAATATTAGAGTTGATTGACATATTCCCCAAACAATGCCCTCCTTTCGCGTACACCTGAATAGGAGATTTTTTGTTTTGAAGCAGATGCTTTATAAATAGAACATCCTAAAAGAGTACACTAGATAGCAGGAAAATTGTGAGACCCAAACGGGAAAGCTACGTACAATAGGGTAATTTTAAAAGAAGGTTTGGTGCCCGGCTTGAACCCTTGCATAGGAGATTAACAATCCTGGACACACGGCACTGTATATATAATGAGGAGATTGGCAAAACATTTTCTATAAAGGAAAAAGCTAAATATTCGATAATATTATCCTCATTAAGAACATTTTTAAAACACAATTATTTTATCTTAAAGAGATAAATATTCGTCAAAAGTGAGTTGAACTAGTGGGCCAGAGAAGAGAGTTCGGCTCTGTATATTCAAGTTTGAATCCCTTATTTCTAAATGAGATTAATTTAAAATACATTATTGCTTATATATAAAAAAGAAAAGAGATAAACACCTAAATTAAAGAATAAAACGAATATATGAATTTAATGTTTCAAGAAAAAAAGGGAACCAAAAAGAAGCAAGACCTCTAGAATCGAAGAACATGGACGAGGCAAGCAATGAGAACCTAAATGATCTCCCAGAGGAGCTCCTCCTCCGCATCCTCACCTTCCTCCCCACATTAGACTCCATCCAAACCTCTCTCATATCCCAGAAATGGCGACCCATCTGGTCTCGTGTTCCCTCCTTGAACTTCCCCTTCGAACTCTTTCCTTCATACGAGCCACCGTTGGATACCCGCCAATTCTTCGCCGAGTTCATCGATCGCGTTCTCATTCTTCGCTCCAATTCTCCCATCCACACTTTCCGCCTCTCCTTCATCTACCATGATCACTACGGCTCCCATGTCGACTCTTGGGTTCGCTCCGCCATAACCCACCTCCACGCTCGTGAGCTCCATCTTGACTTCTTCATCCACAAAGATTTTCATGACGAGGACACATTTAATCACCGGTATGATTTCCCTTTCTCTGTTTTGAGAATTGGGTTTGTTGAAAAATTGGGCCTTACGGGATGTGATCTTACATTGCCGGCTAAAATGTCCACTATGCGTCTTTGCTCGATTGGGTCCGTGTTTCTCGATCGGGTTTATTTGACGGACCAGATAATGAGTGATTTGATTTTGGGTTGCCCCAATTTGGAGGCTTTGGAGCTTCAGAACTGTTGGGGGCATCATCATTTGAAGATATGTAGCACAAGGCTTAAGAAGCTGGTACTTGGGTATTTTTATGATTCTGAAATCCAAGAGACGCTTGTGATTGATTGCCCAAACCTCTTCTCGATCAGTTTTGATTGCTGTGCATTTGACAAGTTTATACTTAAGAATGCGTCGTCCCTGGTTGAGTTTCATGTTGATATTGTGCACTTAATCGATGGGTCCTATTGTTATTGGAGCAAGGTTGTGAGGCTACTCTTACAAGCACCTAATGTTAAGCATCTTAATGTGCAAAATTGGTGGTTTAAGGTAAAATTCTTGACCTGCGTTCTGATCAATCATTGTTTTCTGTATGAGGATTTTGTTTAACTTTAAGTTGTTTCATTATTTTTTGTATAGTGGGAATTATGCCAGAAGTTTGAGGAATATGCAACAATGGGATTAGTGTTCTGGTTATGTGGAAGGCTTCTCCCAGATTTGCTAAATTTGGTCTATCAATGTTGTAGATTAGCTGTGTATTTTTGAATGAGACTGTATTTTTAAGTAATTGAAATAGATAATAAAATGAGAGCAAGTAAGGCTTTTTAGCTTGTCATTGAAGTTGAAAGCTTGTCACTGAGTCTTGGAGTTGAAAGAAAGATGGGAAAGGGTAATTAGTTGTTGAGGTCTGCTCATTTTTCAGCATCAGCCTAGATAGAGGAAATGATCAGTGCCTAATTTATACAAATTGGTCATGGATTGGTGTCCCAGGAAAGAAGTGGTCGAGGGACAGTACAGGACAATAACATGGTTGTTTATGGACTCTATGTTCGATCACTAACCAACTAGATTTGGGGACAATTCAATGCAACTAACCTTTGGGAGTTAGATAATACAGCTTAGCATTTACTGTGCCAATATCGTTTTTGTTTTTGTTTTTTCTTTGTAAAAGGAAGGTTAGTATTCAGTAAGGATTACATTTATGTCGTTAAACTGCAATGTTTATTGAAACTAAATATCCTGCATTTACAGTTTTTTAGCTGGCATACTGACATGATATGATAGGTGAATTTGTCAAGAAAAGTAAAGTTCCATTTGTTCCTTTTATTGTACCACATTTCTTTTACGGCAATAAGTTATTAAACTTTCATAACAGGTATTGAGTTCTCATTGAGAATGGTATAAATGCCAATATTGTAACTTAAAGACATTGTACAAAATTGTTTTGAGAAAACCAACTACCAAAAAAAGGTCCTGTCTGTTGTTTCTTATTCGAAAAGTCAAAAACAGGTTCTGCCTTGATGATCACTCGTTCTGATAAGCAGGTTTAATTGATGATTAACCATGTCATTGTGCAAAGTTAGTTGTCTTTCCTTGATGTTGTGGCTTCAAGGGTATCCCTGGGAACTCCTATCATAAAAGAGCCTCTGTGGAAGTAAAATCTTAGCATGTTGTAACCAGCCATGTGATTCTGTGCTAGACATGCTTTAGTCACTTTCTAACTCTGTCCAACTCATTGATGTACAGCATTTCATTCATAGATGGCCAATCTCTTTGGCTTAACCTCTGGGAACTCGGGGATTTTTTGACTTTCACTTTTTACTGATTAACCTCTTTTGGCTTTTTTCCCTACGCATGACCACTGGTTTCCAGAGATATAATGTTATTGAAGATCATCTAATATTAATAACTGTCTCTTATTCATATGCCCTTAGTTTCTGACATCAAAGGAGGATTCTTTCCCCAAAAGTTTTATGCTCTACAATCTCAACCTCTTAGAGCTGCGAACAGGATTTACCCAATATGATCTGGTTGGCATGGCTGCACTGCTTAAACTTTGTCCCAATCTCGAGACAATGATTCTAGAATACCTTTTCAAGACAAGGGCAGATGTGAGTACCACATACATAATAATAGCAATTCTTGATGTTTCTGTGTTACTTATGTTTATCCTTCTTTTTGTTGTTCCAGGCTGCATATCTAACATTTGATCTTCTAATTTCCAGGAGAGTTTATCAGAAGAGTCGCTAAATAAACCAGTTGAATTGAGCATGCCAAGTCTTAAGCAAGTTACAATGAACGCATATACCGGAACAGAAGATGAATTCAATTTTATGAAAATGTTGATTGGGCAAGGAGTTGTCCTAGAAAAGATTGTGTTTGTTCCCGTCCAAGTTGAGAACAGAAAAGTTGTTGAGAGGTCACTTCCTCCAGTGGTTCTATATAGAAAGGGTTCACAAGGTTGGAAGTGCTCACCGGACCTCTCCTTCTCAGTACTGAGAATTATAGAGTCTGAGCTAAATGGGGATTAGGGTTTAAAATTGCATGGGGAATCCATTGGCTCATCCAAGGTTTCTTGTTTTTCTGAAACTGGGTTTAAAATTAGATGATTATTACGAATATCAATATTATGTTTGGATTTTGTTTACGGATCATCATCCGTCTTATTTCTTCCTTAACAAAAATTACATGTGTGTGTGTGGGCCGAAAGGCCCAAAACTTCTCTATCCTTCCAAAGCAAACAAATTAGGCAATCCATTTATAAATTTTTCTTTCCAAAAAGCCTGATTACTATCTTCTCTCAGCATTACACGGGAAATAAAAACATCTTTATACCACCTAAAATCACTTAATTGCGGACATCTCAAATTACTCAGCTGATCATGTATTCTAGACTGTGTATGACTCGGGGTTCCTATAAAATGCTCAATTATTGTATAAAGCAAAGTATTAACACTGTCTTCTATACCTTGTCCTATGTCTTCATTAAATAAAGGCAGACCTTCAGTATCTAATTTGACTGCATGTATAATATTATTTCGGGACTCATCAGTTAAATGCTTATCCCACCAAGATCTCAGAGTTCCTGTAAAACCAGTTTCTAACAGGGGAATTATCTCAGATTGTCTTAAATTATGATTAGTACTGTAACTATTAGCAACCATAGACATGTGGGTTAATTTATTCATAATTTCTTGCTCAGACAGGCCATCTATATTCCATTCATATAATTTATCAGGAGAAACAGAAAATTGACTTAGATTATTTCTTTCTTCAAATTGAATATCAGGTGGTGTAGGCTTAGGATACCAATTTCTGGTTAGGCTAGTAGGATTAGTTAATTTCTTGACTTTTAGCTCAGATTCTAATTCTAGGTTTTTAAACGCATTCTCAATTTTAGAAATATTACTAGACTCAATAGATTCTGTATTTGATTCAGACTCAGTATGGAAACCAGAGCTGCAAAGAAGAGAAGGCTTCTTATGGAGCAAGAAAACAAACACAATGAGAAAATCAAGGACAGGCTCAGTGATCTTCCAGATGATGTCTTGCACCACACACTCTCCTTCTTACCCATTAAATCTGCTGCACGTACAAGTACTTTATCTAAAAGATGGAGAAAACTATGGGATTCCTGTCCAATTCTCGACTTCTCCAAAGCTTGTCGTCTGACAGGGCTGCGATTTGGAAAAAAACCAGCTACGGTTGGGGAAGTTTATGACCGGCATAGCAAAGTAGTTAATGGCATTTCCAAAGTATTGTCTGGCCGCCATGAAAACTCTAATATAGAGGTTTTTGAGTATGCTGGTTATATGAACCCTAGTTGGTTGCTTGATTGGGTTCCTTGTCTGGTGAAGCATAGGGTTGAAAAACTTGGTCTCGATGTCTGGTTGGTTCACTCGCTTGACTTGCCTTGCTCTCTATTTGAGTGTAACTCACTGAGGAGCCTCACATTGGAAGCCACTCGTTCTGAACATTGCCTCCTAATTAACAATCCCGACACCCGGTTTTGGCTTCCATCTTCTTGTGCTCGGGCTGCTAGCGGCCTTCGCTCTCTGTCTTTAACTGGAGTGGATTTCGCGGGCAACGTGTTATTTTCAGATCCTTCTTCGTTCCCTTCCCTTGAGAAATTGACTGTAGATCATTGTAGAAGAATCAGCCGTCTCAAAATATGCTGTGCCAACCTCAAATGCATAGAAGTTTGCAGTATGGATGTAAAAAGCCTGGACATATCTGGAATGAAACTAGAGAAGTTGACAGTCAAACTCTGTTTCAACGGATGTGGCAAGGGAAGTAGTGTTAAGATTTTGGCTCCCAATCTACGAACTTTTTGTTGGAACGACAACGACTTTGCCGAGAAGTGTTTGATTCAGAGCTTTCCACAGCTCATGGAAGGTGAGATTAGTTCTTGTGTGCTACCAGCCAACGTTAGCGAAGTGAAGGCTCAAAGCGCAGCCAATCTTCTTTCCTCACTGTCCCAAGTTGGGAGCCTTTGTTTGTCCTATCGCATTCTTGAGATTTTGTCGAAAATATATCTTGAATTCGATGGTCTACCATATGCATTTATGAACCTCAAGACCTTGCAAATTTATACTGATTTGAGAAAAGCTGATATCCCCGGTATAGCTTGCATTTTCAGGAGCTCTCCTGCAGTCCGAAATCTCACAATTACGATAACCGCTGGCCGTGATATCCATAGCCCACCTGCTGGCTGGGAAAATCAAGCTCAAAGTTTGAGCTCCTTCCTATGTCACCTAAAGGTGGTGAATATTGTGGTTTGGACAAATACGATACATGAAAGTGTGATTAACGTAGTGAGGTTTTTGCTTCAACATGGAAGAGCCCTGCAAAAATTTGTCATTTCTTCTTGGCACTCCAAGGTCCATGATCAACTTGCTACGTTATTTCCTCGGGCATCTACTCATCTCGAAGGCTCATGGTCATACACTAATTTTTTAAACACATAGACATAGATGATCATTACGGATACCACATATTGAGTTGTATATGTTGTTGATTTGGGATATTATCAATTCATAAATCTGGCGTTCAGAATTGCAGAATTTTGCTTAAACTTGCTAGCAAACTTCAATATTTTATTCAAAAGTTCTCTTTATATTTGTCAAATTCATCCAAACTCCCGTTTGTATATACAATGGTAGTGACCTTTACTTGAGTGTGATTCTCTGAGTCTAACGACATGTTTGATTTGGTGTTCATCTTCTTATATTAGGGCCATTAGCGGTCTCCGCAAGCTTCACACTTTGTCTCTAACTGACGTGGATTTTTCGGACAAAAAAGTAAATTTAAAAACTATGATTGTTTTTAAAAATATGAGTTTTCAAATAGTGATTTTAAGGATGAATAAATTTGACATTCGGTTTGGAGAGAAATGTTGTGCAATATGCCAAATCATTACTCAACTCATCGTATTCAAATTTGAGTTTGGCATTTGACGTTTCCTTTTGGAGATGCTAGTGCTAACTCTTAAGTTGAGGGATCAAATCCAACGGAAATTTCTTCAGAAGCCATTTTGTAATGCAGATAGATAAGACTGACAATGTTTATAGCTATGCCAAATCAAGTTTGTAATGAAGACAGAATTACAAAACACGAGATAGTTGAAGAGCTCAAAATCATCCGCAACTACTATTGGATCAAATCCTAACAAACTGACTACTAGCAATTATATATATGTCCTCAGGTGGGTTCCGTTAGCAGCTTCATCCCTTATTGTAAGCATTATTCATATTTTCTTCTAGTTTCTATTGAAACTTATATATGTATTTTTTTTTTCTTTCTCAATGCACATAATTTATGATTAGAAAATCTTTCCCTCTACTTTTTACTGTCCAAACCTTTTCAAAAGATATTTAAGAGGGTGAAAAAAGCTTGGAAGCATGGTAAGGGGGAGCTTGGTGGATTATGTGATGAGGGAGTTTGTTGATATTGGTAAAAGTGGAAGAACTACAAAGGAGAAGCTTAAGTGTAGCTTATTTGGTGATTATGAAGGTATATACATGTGTATAGATATGTACTTGTAGGATAATCATGTGTATAAATTTGGCTTAGGTTTATTCTTGTAATTAGGCATACATCTAGCTGCCTTCGAATACTTTCATTTTTCTAGATTTTATTTTGTTTTGTTGTACTTTTGAATATTAATAAACAATTGATATGGTTTTTTGTTTGATTTGAGACTTGGATTTCACGTTTGGAGACTAAAAGCAAATTTTGGAATACTAAAATAGTTTTTACAATATTTTTGGGTATTTAAAAGAATTTTCTAGGATTTTTAAATAATAGAAAATATTTTAAAAATACTTTTGAAAATTAAAAATAGTTTCTAAAGTCCATAAAAGAATTCAAAATAATTAAATACTATTTATCAATAAATTTCTAAAATTAATTAAAATATTTAAATACTAATTATTCACTATAGAAATAATGACTAAAAACTAATTACTAATCAAAGTAATTAAATGAGGCTAAGATATTACTTAATTACAAATATTACACAAATAATCTAATTTGTACGAATGTTTTTTTTAAAGTCCAAAAATAATTTAAAAGAATTAATTATTATATACTGAATAATTAAAATTTTAAAATACTAATTATTCACTAAATTAATAATAATTGAAATATAATTTGTAATTAAAGTAATTAAATAAATCTAAGATATTTCTTAATTACAAATTTTAAATTAAAAAAAACAAAAATGCGAGTATATATAAACAGTATAGCCGCGCGGCTATAAAAATATTCGAATATAAGAGTATAGCCGCGCGGCTCTACTATTTAAATATTAAATGGTAAAGCCGTGCGGCTATACTATTTAAATATTCGAATATATTACAAGCGTCTGTACTAGTTAAATATTCTATTTAAAAGTATAGCCGGGAGGCGATACTATTTAAATTTTCAAATAAATTTACCCAGTATAGCCGCGCGGCTGTACGCATTAATGGAATATAAACTGATTGGTATTGTGGCATCCTCATACATCCCAAATGTAAGACACCTTGCTCACTGGAAAGCAAGCCTTCGGGAGTATGAAAAATCTGAAACAACATAAGTGGGAAAAAATTTGAAACTAGTTACAGAACAAAAATAACAATTAGTAAACTAATATATCCTAAACAAATTACAAAACGTAAATGGAGCACACTTATCAGGAAAATTTAAATCTCCATAGATCCTATTCCGGAGTTTAAATATACCCTATCTTTGCAAGCATCTAGAACAAATGAACACATCTAGAATAGAGGAGAACTGGAAGATTCAGGAACATCATGGTATTAGAGGGCATGTGAATAACGGTACATGTGAACATTTTCTAGAATAAAGGACGTGAACATTTTCTAGAACAAATGAACACATCTAGAATAAAGGGCATGTTACCTGAACATTTTCTGAAAGTGTATCATGTGAATGACAGTACAGAAGACTTTCCAAGTGCTGCCACAAAGAATGAGTTCCAGTAAGCATTCATTAATGTGTTCCCAGCGGCCTAAATAAATAAACATCCATCGAAACTGAGATATACATAAGCAAATGACCTTTTCAAACTCCACATAGGTTTCTCCAGCTGCAATGGACATCAAAGTGGATAACGAGGAAATTGCTGCCATTTGTTGTCCAAAACCTCAAAGATCTACA